ATAAATAAAATACTCGATAAAACGAATATGTATATTTCAAGTTCTATTTACACAAGTGTTTCAAAACAATGAATCTATGTAGATATTCCGATGAATTTTTAAATTGTTCCTATGGCAGATTCAGAAGTCCAATTTTTATTTAATTAATTCTAAAATAGTAAACTATGACTTAATTTCGGATTATATTCAGTTAAATTAAAAAAACAACAAAGTAATTTTTTTTTTAATTTTTCCTATTGTTCCTGCGGAAGCTATTTGATATAGACATTCGATCCTGCCCGTTGCGATTTATAATCTATCTGCATTAAAAAAAATAATTTGGATAATTGTTAGGAAAAATTAGTTTTTAAGAGTGTATTTTTATTTATTTACAAGTCCTCCTTCCCCAACATTTATACTCTTTAATACTCGTTATTCTTTAAAATAGAGATAATTCAATGCATTAAACACAGCTTGCAAGCGAGTGCTGAATTTTTAAAGTTCGTATACATTTAAACAGAAAAGCGTCATTTGTATATGTGATACCTGCTATTCACAGCTCGTTTGAAAAATAAATTTCCACAGAAAAGGCGTGGCCCGTCTGCGTCTGAATGGTAAATTTAAATCTCTAGCTCTTGATTACTTTTGCTCTACGTGCTACGCTTATTATAAAACATTGGATAAGGGTTCAAGACGTATGGTGATTAATGTCACCATTTGGAAGCCCGATCCTAGTCCGTATATCACGGGCTTGCCAGCATGCATTGCTTTTACTCGGCACTGGATTGCATTAATTAGCCCCAGACATCCCGATGTCATCATTCAGTGGCCAACAACGACATCAACGGCTTAAGGAAGCTGTCAGTAAGTGCGGCTGCCTAATTGCCATTTAAGCAGTCCATCTCGATCTGACCCCGCTCGTCCTTCGATCCTGGGTCCGCAGTCCGCAGTCCGCAGTCCGCAGTCCTTGCTGGCGGGCATTCGATTGTGGTTTGCGATAAGACAGCAGGTCGAGGACATACCCCATCTACATCCACCATCCACATCCACCTTCCACATCCACATCCACATCCACATCCACCGCCATGGCTGCGGCAATGCCAGAGGCAGGATTTATGAGTCGACATCGCTCGCACTAAGCAGCTTGAATGCTCTTGCGCACAGGCAGGTTGCCAGGCAACCGGGATAAGCCGCAATGATAAAAATAGGCAAATCCGACGAAGGACTCTGGCAAACGCTGTGCAACCGCCGCCTTTGCCCCACCTTTGGCACCCACCGAAGCCACCGAATCACCAAGCCACCGAGCCACCGAGCCAGCAAACCACCAAGGCACCAAAGCACCAAAACACCAAAACACCGCACCATTGCCCCACCTGTGTGTCGATTCGCTGTGGGCGCAGATATGTCTGGCTAAAACTTGCGCATGACATGCGAACAAACAAGTGCCATAAATAAATTTAAATTGCGCTAAAAATCGCACGCTATTATTATTATTTATTATGTAAGCAATTTGCTGGCATTTCTGGCATACCCACAAACGGGTGTCAGTGTGCGGGTCTCTGTGTGAGTGCGCAACAACACCAAAAGTTTATTAGAACTTTGTCATAAAGTCAAAGTTCGAACACTTTAAGAGTGGGGAGTTGCGAAATTTTCTGTAATTTTTGTTCGTCACAATAAAGAGGGTGAATTGTAGGGAATAAGGAAAAAATTGCACAAGGCTTTTGGGTTAAGTAGAATTAAATACATCGTCAGTGAAATACCTGTTAGAGAATTAAAAAAGTATTTTTAAAAAGGTAATAAATCCGATGCATATACATATATGTTTTAAAACAACGAAGCTATAATTTTTTCACTTATTCTGTTGATGTTATAGAAGCGAATATGATAACATTTAAGCCAGGATATTAGGAATATTTTCAAAATGAATCGACTTTATCCATTACTTTAGAACGAAGTCGGCACGCACACAATAACATGCTCGCACTTCTTTGTGTAATATTTTAAAAAATCAAATCAATATTAATAACAATAAAATAGGATAAAACGATCCCTGGTGAAAGCAAATCTATTTTCAGATACAAATCAATTATGGCCCCGTATTTAACTTAAATTTATTTCATATTAATTTAAATACGGTTTCTACTTATATTAAATATTTTAATATTTAAAACAAACATGTCTCATAATTACTTAAAACACGATTTCTAGTTAAATTAAATGTTTTAATATTTAAAACAAATACCCATCGTGTTTAATTTAACTATGAATTATGTTTAACTTAAATATGGACCAAATTTAAATTAAATATTAAAAATTACTCTGTAAATATTTAAATTAAATACGAAAATAAAATTAATATGGTGCATATTTAAAGTAAATATAAACGGCAATGGATGAAAATCAAAGCGAAAAATATTTAAATTGAATACAAAATATTTTTTACCAGTGTATCGTCATCGATAGTGTTTTGAAATGTCTTGGTCCTCTGGGAACAACCAAGTCCCGAGTTCCCAAAATATTGTGTATTATGCGATTTGAATGTTATGGGGCACCACTTTAATCTCCAAAGGAATTGGTCGTAATCACTATCGTACCCGTGAGTTTGACTGAAATTTTATGTTATTTTGCATTTGTTTCTCATTCAGCACAATAAAGGGTTGATCAAGCCACAGTTTTTTTTTAGAAATATGGGAATAGCACAGCTTCTCTGCTACTATTTAACCACAGAGCAACTTGCTAGCGAAAATCAGACGAGTTTGGCATTGCGTATAGAAAGTTGTACATTCGAAATGAATTTTCAATGCCTTGTAATCGGTACAGAATGATACAGTTTCGATTCTTCGATTTTGGATAAACCACAAATTTACATTTATTTATTAATTAATTATCAATTTGGTATTCAAAAACTCATGATGGGAATTCCATTCCACAAGACTTAAATAAGATATACAGGCCATACTATGTTGTACAACTTATTTTATTAACTTTTCATCTCTTGTTTTATTTTTTCAGGCAATGTGTTGTCAACTATATGCATTATCCTCACGATCGGTGTATATCTTTACGTAAAAGAGCTTCACAATACGCTCGGGAAGTGCATTATCACCAGCCAATTCTGCCTGTTGTTCAGGAATGTCGAACCGTATTATTTATCGATTGAATCCGAATTTCCAAAGACGATAGGTCTGTTTGCAGGTTAGTTCCTAATAATTGAAAAGACTTTTCATGATATAAAATATATTTATACCCTTGCAGAGGGTATTATAATTCAGTCAGAAGTTTGCAACGCAGTGAAGGAGATATCTCCGACCCTATAAAGTATATATATTCTTGATCAGCACCACTAGGCGAGTCGATCTAGCCATGTCCGTCTGTCAGTCTGTCCGTCTGTCCGTCCGTTTCTACGCAAACTAGTCTCTCAGTTTTAAAGCTATTTGCATGAAACTTTCCCAAAAGTTGTCTTTCTATTGCAGGTAGTATATAAGTCGGATCGAGCCCGATCGGACGACTATAGCATATAGCTCCCATAGGAACAATCATAAAAATAAATAAAAAAAAATTATAACTTTGGTGTTTTTCAATTTTTTTTTAGTTCTTCGACATATAGTAATATTTCAGAGTTACGGTTTAAATTTCATCAAAATCGGACGACTATAGCATATAGCTCCCATAGGAACAATCGTATAGCTGCCATAGGAACTATCGAATAATTAAGCTGCAAATCATCATAGCTTCAATGTTTTTATACATACACGCAAGTAAATCATAATTTAAACGTTTTAAAGAGTATTTAGTTTTTGAAATAGCTGCAAGGGTATATGAACTTCGGCTTGCCGAAGTTTGCTTCCTTTCTTGTTTTTAATAATCATTGATCACTCTCAGCTACCTTATTAGCCTTTTGTAAATTTGCTCACATTGTTTGGATCTCCGTAATAAGTTTTCACTTGTGGAAAGTGTTAACATCGCTCAGTAGATTTGAAAGTTCGAATCAGTTCCTGAAATACAGCGTCTTTGTCTGGATCAATACTGTTGTTATTTTAGTAGTGTTGATGGTATTAAACTTTATCGATGCAGGTGACTTTACAATTACTTTAATGCATAATATCGTATTAAAATTTTAATTAACTTTTTTCTAGCACTCACAGACATCCTTTTTGATGTTTTTCTTCTGACCACAAGTATCATTGATGTGACTTTTTTTATCCTCACTGGTATTTACATAATAAAAGTGAAAAAAGGAATCAATAGGTTCATATCAAATGAGGAGACATCGACCTGCTTCAATTACGACAGTCAACAGTAATATCTTTTTACTTCAAATGTTACTTAACAAGCTTGATTGCCATTATTTACTCTTATGACAGTACTCTTCAATTTCTGCGAATCTCTGTCTTGATGGGAGTGATTCGGATAACAGACTTACATTTTTTTTTGGGGAATCCTGAAGATCCTTGGGCTTGGACGGTGTGGTTTTTTCCTGTTTTTTTCGGTATTTTAAATTTTGTGCTCCTCATCCTCAAGCGCAGCACACTAGAGTTGCTAAAGAAATGGTATGTATATAATCAGTAATTATGGTTGACCTTTAAATAAATTGATTCCCAAACTTTCAGCTACCATACAAGACGGAACAAGCAGTCTGCTGTCACCCAGATTCCGAGTGTAGGTTTAATAATAACTTACCGTTAAATATTATGTTTAAAAGCAACAAAAAAATGGTCATATCAATCAAAAACACCTCCTATCGAAAAAAGCATAGTAAACCAGTTAGGAATGGAAAACCGATCATCTGCTTTTTTTTTTTTTTTTTTTTTTATTATTGTCGCCGGAATCGTTCAGGACCATCTGAACATAACCGGTCGTTTAGAGGATGGGGTATATATGAAAATGTTTTTCAGTGAGACTGTGTCTCAATCATTTTTTTATGTTTGAGCAAGCAACTTTGTTGTTTCCAATTTGAGCTGATGATTAATAACAAGCACTCCTTAAGATTGTGACAATAAATTTTGTAACAGTGCAGTGGGTAGTGGGTATCCCATAGTCGGGACGCTAGACCATAGGGTTCTTTATTCTTTTTTCTTTGCGAATGTATACATGTTCATATACACTTTATTAATAGACAATAAAAATAATTTGCATTTAAACATTCAGTTAATGTATATGTAGTTTGTATAATAATAATATTTTAATATATGTATTATAGTTATCATTTCTTCGTCTATCGTATAGTACATATACAGAATACAAAAATCATCTGCTTGATATCTCCACAGCAGTGGTGGATACGAGGGGGGGTTCTGATAGTATACCCCTTTACTTAACCCCCACTTTTCTACCCACGAAATGATCAGGGAAACTTATAAATGCATGTTTAAAGGAACAATAACAAAACAATTTTTTTTTAATGCCCCCGAAACCCCCAATGGTCCAATAAAGTAAAAAAAACTAAAAGCTAAATGCATTATTCGCATGTTCGTGTTTGTGTGACAACCGAAACCGGATAGGAAGGTTACTAACCGAATTACCTTTAGGCCATATTGACTACATAGTATGGAGATTTGTGCTTTGACTGATTCGGCTTGAGAGTGTTCATATCTTATAGCTAATCTCTTGGATTGATTTCGATTGGTGCCTAGTTAAATTCCATAGATTTATTTGGTTGGTGTTGGCTCTTAGTCTGATATGTTTTTCTTTCTTAGAAAAGAAAACTCGTCCAATTTGGTTGGCTATATAGTCTCAATATCTGAGCAATTAGTGATTAATTGGTGTTTATTACTGATCTTTGCACTTCAGCCTTTGCCTATTTTTCACTGCTTCATAAGATAGTAAATTAAAGATAAATCAACAATAAGCACACTTAAGCCCCCGTTAAGAAACTCATATGTATAAAAAAAGTGTACACATAATTTTCAAAATAACTTTTCGTAACTTTTAACGTATTTAAATGTTTAACTTAATCAACCAGCTATTTTTACTATATTCACTTTGGCAACTCAAAAGCTTTAAAACTGTTCGCCTCTCACTCTATATCTCTATCTCCTTCACTTTCACAATCACTAGCTATATTTTTGCTACATTTCAAAGTCCAATTCCTATCCTTTTCTCAGGAACCTCGGTTTAAATGTAATTTGAGAAAAAGTTGAGATTTTGAAAAGGTCTTTAGAATGACTTCAACATGTATCTTAGACATACAAAAAAAGCGGAGACCCGGAAAATAATTTTTCCCCTGGGCCATGAGCTTGCGAACTTTGTATCTTTTGCAATACATTATACATTGATAGTTCTACAAATAGCTAAGTTACAGTTATCGTTTATCGTTATCATATATATATATATATATATATATATATATATATATATATATATATCAGCCCTTTGGGTGTGTGCTCTGTACTCCGTAATACTCCATGTCACACACACACCCACCCATATAGTTGGTAGCTCGTGCGTTCACATTCAAATGTAGTTAAAGGTCCCCTTGATCCTGCTCCAGGATGTGGAATCCCCAGCTCCAGACCTCTTGGAGCACAAACGTGAATTTATCGTCAGCTTCTATCATTTTCATAGGCACAATCACTGACGGTCTTTCGACAAAATACAAATGGCGAAAAAAAACGGGCACAACTGAAACAATAAAATACCAGCCCAGTCAGCGTCCCAATCGCACCATCTATCCGCTCACGATGCTGTATTTGCTCGACTTTGGCTTTGGCTTTGGCTCTGACCCAATCTTTATCTCTATCTCTATCCCTATCTGTATCTGTATCTGTATCTCTATCTGTATCTGTATCTCTATCTTTGGCTCGTTCTGAGATCGGGATTGCGCAGTTCTGTTTACCACACCTCGCACTTTTCGGTGGGGTTCATTCGCTTGCCGGGCTTGCACTGAAAGACCTCGGCGAACTCCTTCATGTTCGACAATGTGCCGATCACCCGGAACTGCGACGGCGAATGCGGATCCTTCTCCATCTGCAGCAGGTTCGTTTCATCCGTGGTGCTGGAGCACCAAACCTGGTTTAAATGAAGTGTTAAGTATATAATATAATAATAATATAAACGTCCAATTGTTCATTACTCACCTGGGCAAAGGACACAAAGAAGAGCTGCGAGTGGGTGAGATTCAGGCCGGGCAGCTTCAGGACATCCACATCCCGGTCGCTCTTGGTGCGCTGGTAGGCGTGGTAGGCCGCCTTCAGACCGCCATTGTCGGCTATGTTCTCGCCTGGTTGCATTAAATAAGAGAAATGATATATAAAAGGCTATTCAGCTAATTTTAGTTGTTTTATAATTCTACAACAATATTATTTAATTAAAAAAATTACTCAAAAATGTTTCGAATTTGTGGGTCAAAAGATCTTTCAAAGTCGAAGCGATTAAAAAAAACCAAAAAACCCATTATCGGATGAAAATTTGTATTATTTTAAATACCTAAAATAAAATGTAGTTTAAAATTTTCTTTGATAAGTCTGTAATTGTTTTTAGACAAGAATTTGTATCCTTTCTGACCCACCTATTATTACAAAGCAAGAGTGTCGGCCGCGCCATCCGTCGATCTCTTATTTATTTATCTGGAAACCCTACTCACCCAGAGTCTGTTTGTGAGTCCGTTCATCTTGTACCCACTGTACTGCCGAGAGGGTCGGTCTTGCCCCACCATCTCCTATTTATATGTATCCAAATCATTTCTGGCCCATTATTTCGATTGTAGAACCCCTATCTTTGCTCAAGAAACTACACAGAAATCTTGCTAAAGAGAGTCGGTCTGGACCCACCATTTCCTATTTTTTATTTAATTCGGACACCCTACTCACCCAGCGTCTGCTTGCCGTTGAGGGTGCGTCCGTTCATCTTGTACCCACTGTACTGACGGGCGATGCACTCGGACTTCTCGTTGAAGCGCTCGATGCTCTTCGGGTCCCACCACCGGTTGATGTTGCCGAATTTGTCGTACTCGCGTCCCTGGTCGTCGAAGGCGTGGGTCAGCTCGTGGCCCATGACCACGCCCATGGCCCCGAAGTTGAGGCTCTTGGGGTTGTTGATGTCGAAGAAGGGCGTCTGCAGGATGCCCGCGGGGAAGACGATCTGGTTCTTGGTGGGCGTGTAGTAGGCGTTCACCGTCTGCGGGGTCATGCCCCAGTTGGTCTTATTCACCGGCTGGTCGAGACGCTTCAGGTTGCTCTTCAGGTTATAGATGGCCACCTGGATGTTGTTCTCGAAATAGGCGTTTGGCGTGATGTTCAGTTCTGCATACTTCTTGTCCAGCTCGACGGGGTCCAGTATGTAGTCGGGGAATCCGATCATGTCCGAGATCTCGTTGGCCTTCTCGATGGCCTTCTCGCGCGTCTGCTTGTCCACCCACGTCAAATTCTGCAGGTTCGTCTTGAAGGCCTCGCGGATCTCGCCGATCATCTGCTCAGCGGCCGGCTTGGACTCGCCGTGGAAGGCCTGTCGCACGAAGATGGCGCCCACGGCGAATCCCACCACGTTGTTGGTGTCCGAGACGCAATACCGCCAGATCTCCTCGCCGCCATCCGATCCCATGAGGGCCTTCCTCACGCCCTTGTAGGCATCGCGGAAGGGCTTGGACAGACAGCTGGTCAGCGTGCGCACCGCCTGCCACACGAGATAGTTGTTCAGGGTGCTGCAAGGATTCAAAAGTAGCAATTAGCATTTTAACGTGATTTGTTTTTGTTTCGATACCAGATGGTTTTTTCTTAAGTCTATCAGTCTCAGCTCAAAACAGAAACAAATTAGCCTCAGTATCAGTCTGAGCAGGACACTTTTCTTGTTGATGAGCTGATCAGTTTGGAAAATCATTGTTTTATTATAAAACCAAATATATAGATTTACTTTTCGTTCTTATAGGAAACCATAACTTTGTATTCTTGAGTGGTGTTTGTTGCCAAAGGATTTTAAAGAGGATTTCTAAAGAATTCGCCTTTTTACTTAGTTTTATGCTATCAATATTTGTTTTCTATAAGTAACGCTTATACCCTTAAGAAGAATTTAGTTAAAGCATATATGCAATATTAAATGTATATTTATTTAAAATATTTAAAATATTTAAATGAATGTGAAAAGTATTGGATTTCAAATAGGTTCTATTTATGTTGTATAATGTTTAATATGGCTTTACTTCAGAATTTAATGGATGAAAATCAAAGCAAATTCTTGGCTTAAATAGGTTTTTTTATCAGTGTAAGAGGTAGCTTATTGTTTTTTTTAAGCCTGTGCCACTGAGCTTTTCTTTTGAAAATTTTCACCAAAGGTGCGGTATTTTAGGGTAAAAGGGGAACCGCTGAACTTCATTAAACGAATGACCCAATTAAATATGATCGACTAGCAGCACAAATGCACTCACATTTTTCCCTCATCGGTCTGCTCCATCTTGAGGATGATGTCGGACAGATTCTTGAGGAAGTCGGGGGCGTAGACGACCACCACCTCGTCGTCGGTGACCCGGCGGCCCACCATCTGCATGGCGTTGTCGAAGTGGTCCGTCCAGTTGAGGAACGGGGCCAGCTTGGCCAGCTGGCGCAGCTGCATCGGATGGTACATGGCCTCCTCGTTGCGCCGATCCTCCAGCGGGATGGTGATGTTGGCTAGCTTCTTCTCGAAGTTGATCACGCCGACCATTTGGGTGCGGGCCTCCGACTCGTTCGCCCCCAAGAGGACGCACACCTTGGTCATGTACTCGATGTACTCGTTGAGCACCTTGCGATGGTTGTCCGTCTTGTTGTTGTAGTAGTCGGCGGTGGGCAGGGTTAGGCCGCCCTGATCGATCTGGATGACGTGGCGCGAGGAGTTCTTGTCGTCCTCCCCGATCGCCCAGCCAAACAGGCAGTTGAAGTTGTATCTGCGGGGAGAAAAACACGGTGAGAATGGCTCCGAAACTGTCTAAATACGGCAAAAAAAAACAACATATGTAAATTCAACATAGAACAATTGTTGATTTACTATTTACAAAGATTGTTAACAGCTACTTTCTACAAAGGCTTTTGGACCAACGAATGGTATAACATTGAAAATAGTAGGGCTTCCTTTTAATTTTATTCATTTATGCTGTTATTTTATATATTTTGGGATATTGAATAGTATATTTTAAGTACTTAAATAACAGAGAACTCTTTCATGAATTTTGTTGTTTTTAAAAGTACCATTCTGACTTGTAGATTAACTATTTGAATTGAATATTTGGGGGAGCATGGCTCAGAGCTTTGAGTGTCAAGGGCTTTTGCAATGAATTTTTTTATTACATTTAATAAATGTTGAATTTTAAATCAGCACAAATGTTTCTCCAAAAAAATGTCAATGGTAATAGCGCAAGCATTTAACAATTAATATTTTTCTATGTACTCAAATGTTATGATACCTTTTTTAATAGGTTGGAAGACAACAATTAAATGTTTAATTTTACATATGTTTGTTTGTTTTTCTGTGTGTACCCACTTGTTGTGCAGTATCTTGAGGGTGCGGCCCATCGTCCAGTTGGCCACGTTGTAGCCGCTCTTGGTCACGTTCCAGCCGCCAATCTGCAGCAGGAGGTCGTTCATGGGCTTGGCCCCCAGCTTCTCCATGTGCTCATCCGCGTCCAGGCAGGACTCGTAGTAAACCTTGGCCTTTCGCTCGGCCTCCGACTTGAAGCTCTTAGCCGGCTTCTCCAGCACGTTGCGGATGATCAGTTGGTTCATCTGCTCCAGCTTCCCAAACGTGCCCCACGTGGACTTGCCCTCGGGAATGGGGTTGTTCTTGATCCACTGATTGCTGTAAGATAGTGAATATTTGTTTCAATATCAGAGACTCTTTTTTTATAGATAAAATATTAAAATATGTATCCGTTTTCCTTTATTAACCTCAATGTTTTGGTTATAGGCAAATTTGCCCAGAGGTGTGGCGAAATTACCTCACATTGATTTAAAAGTCAATTTTAGTTGTCTTTCAGCTTTTAAATTATTAATGTACAATCTTAACGTATCCAATGATATAAAAAATGTTATAATAGCCGCACACAACCCTATAGTTAACCTCTGGCGTCTTTGGCAATGTCTGATTAATTTCTTAATATGTTCTTAAACATTTGTATGTGTTGATAGATATTGATCGAATTATTAATATTTAGTTTTAAAGCTAAGTTAGCTGATAAGCCAGATGAGGATTAATCCATGGGCGAATAAATAAATAAATACGTAAAATCCGAAAACGTTTCTCTACAGAATTTCTACACGATTTGTGGGCAATTAAACTGCGCCACAAATGCATCACTTGAATCTGCATGACTAAGATCTTAGCTCTTATAATTTCCAAAATTTAGAAGTTAATATGGACGTACTGAATATATATAACATAAACAATACCTATGACATATATTTTCAACTAAAACAATAGCTCTTTAAACCTAGTTCAAGCTTCAGTAAGCTAAGTCTCTTATATCTGCAGATTACTCACCAGGAATATGCGTAGAAGTCATCGCAGGGATCAACGGTGACGTCGATGGACTTGAGGATCTCGCTGGAGGCGAAGATGCAGTGCTTATTCAGACAGGGAAGCTCACTTCCCGCGGGACACTCTGTAATGGAAAAAGGTAATGAGTATCCTCGGATAAATACATGCAAGCCATACCTTTTTGGTGGGGTTGGACGTGCAGGACGTGCTTGGTGCCATCGCTGCCGCCTCCATCTGCGAAAAGGACGATCAGGAGCGTGAAGATCGTGAGGGCCATTACAAAGGTGGTGATGAGCAGCCATTTCTCCGTCTTGTTCCTCGAACGCCAATTCCATGTTGCCTGTGCATTGAGTGTGCAATGAGTGGGCAATGAGTGTGCAATTCCCCATTATCAAGCAATCATTCTGGCCTCCATGGAGGCACAAAAGCTCCCTTCCCATAAATCACCCCCCAAAATGGTTTGTGTTTTGTAAACAATGCGAAAGCAAGACGACGGCGGTTCAAATGGGTTCAAACTTGTGTGCATATGCCAACTACTATAAATGCGATCAATCTCGCAGACATAACTCACTTGTGGCTTAATTTTTCCACACATCGCCGGAGAGGCGAAAATGGTTGTCTAAATGGATTTTCCGAAGTTTCAACGACTCGCAAATACACTTTCCTACGGTGAGTTTGGGCAAATTCTCAATGCATCTGGGAGAAGCAAATTTTTTGTTAGGTTCTCAAACTATTTGTCATATTCAAGAAACGTTTATGTGTTGAAAAACTTAATCTAAGAATACTAATGCAATTTTTGGAAAGTTATGTCTTAAGATTTTGGCTAATAAAAGTGTTCGATCTGATATAGTAATTATTCAAAGTGCTATTTCTATGTTACTTCCATACAAATAGGAATTTTTTCTTTAAAGCTCAAATGGTCTCTGGCAGCCATTGGAACCCCAGCATATGTTAGGGTATACGTTTATGTGAGTCTCGCGGAGGGAAAAGCTCACACCGCCATACTTGTGTATACAAAAGCAGACTTTTCACTGCCAAATGGTAACCTTCAAAGCAATGAGAAAAGCGCTCACGTTAGCCTCATTTGCCGCTGGTTTTGGGTCATTGCCGCAGAGATTAAGATGGAGTCGAGTGGCTTGGGGTGTTACATGAGTGGGGCACATACCCGAGCGGTGTGGTAGCGTATCTGCATGCCAGTGTGGCCGGTGGCCTCGTTCAGTTGAATGCCGCCAATGGAACTCGAGTCGTCTTCCGTGAATTCGGTTTGCTTGTAGCGCGTCATCTGGAACGAGATGCGAATGTGGGTGGTAAGTAGTAATCTAGCCCTTATCCAAGATCTGAGGCTGACGCTTTGTTATATCACGTGGCTGCCCCAGGGCATCCGATAACAAGCCTCCGCATAGGGTGTACATAGAGAGTGGCGCTCGCTGACAAAGCTTTTTCGTGTGGCATGTGTGTGTGCGAGTGCGATTTGTGTGGATATCGTGAGTTCTTTAGCGCTCACTCAGCGCCTTGTGCTTTATTTTGTTTCTCTCACATCCCCGACTGCTCCCCATTGTCATTGGTGCTTCCTAAGTATTCAAAAGTGTTGCGCTTTACCCTTGTGTCATCAGATACAGATCATCCTCAATATTACAACATTTTCACTTACATTTTTAATTTTCAGATATTCTTGTCCTTATAATTAAATCTGTTCAAAAAAAAGTTTAGCTAACTGTCTAGCAATCAAAAAAAAAAGGAGAAAAACTAAAAATCTTTTAAAATAACATAGTTTATAAATGTTAGTCTTAAGTCAAAAATGTTTATATTTAATTTTCCATTGTACAATGACCAATGCGTTAAAAATAAGTATATGATTGTAGCGCTAAGACAAAATATTAAATACAAAATTTAAATTTTTTTTAAAATATTTTTTGACAGGCCCATCCAATTCTGTTTCTGTATCCCCATATATTATTATCAAAAAACTAACTTTTAAAGATATAGATTTCAAAAATGCCTTCGAACAGCACAGCATCTACGACACCTCTTGCCCATTCATGGGTTAATCGCTCGAAAAGCGAACCATTTGCAACCACTTGTAAGCATTAAATGGCCGCCACGAAACTCCGCCAAAGTAGCCTATGTAGATCCCATGTTTGCACATATATGGGGATGTGTATCACTTGCTTAAAGTCGGACCTACCGAACGGCAGTCGGAGATCCACATTTTTGCCAACCTATAAGACACCGGATGGAAGCACCAGATACAATGTATTCGGTTCGGTTTCGTTCGGTTTGGTTCCGTTCGGTTCAGTTCGGTGGGGGTGGTGTTTGTTTATATGGGATGAGCGGTACGATAACAGAACGCGGCGGCGATAATATTCGTGTTCAGCCCATGACCGTTGGGTAGGCACTGACGGCCGAGCCCACGGAGCTTTCAAACAGGAACGTCGTAGCGAGTGCTCGCCAGCCCCCAATTTCCCAATTCCTCAATACCGCCATCCTACAATCCCCCAATCCCCCAATCCCCCAATCTCCAATCCTACGAAACCGGCATCTCCGACCTCCCGCCACGTTATATCGAATAGTTTTGCATTGTACACAAACTAATTGACTCGCCTGCGGGTGTGTGATTGTGTGTGTGCGGGCGATATGGTCGGGAATGGAAATATTTTTAGGGAAAATAAACGAAAACGAAAATATGTATTCAATTAACGCAATGCAATCCCCAATCAATTTGTTATTGTTATATGTGCATTTCTATTTTACTTGCTTGCAGCCATCTATGGAATACCGAATATATAAAAATAGATATGGAATCGTAGGCTGTGAAGGCGCCATATGAGAGCAATTATCGCACTCGATTTGTGTACCCATTAATGTGGCTCAGGCTGTGATCTGCCAGCCTTATAATACCATTCATATCTATCTGATTTTGACATATATTTACGAACGTGTTTGGCTTTTAGAGTAACGCTATTGTGGGCATCGAATGATTGATGCGAAAATAACGCAATCGATTAGAACAAACTGGACGGAAAAGCAAAGACCTCTATATGGATAAGTGTACATATATTGACTTTTCCCGGACAGAAATATTGTACCACGGAATTGCGAGCCTACTCAAGAGAAAGATTATTAAATAGGGACTCTGTAGCAGGGAGTAGTGTGGGTATCTCATAGTCTTATGTATTTTGTTCCAAATGGTTTTTGCCCAGAGCATTTGCCAGCAGCGAATCCAGCAAAATGTAAACACAAACTGCACACCCACTGGCATTTAGCAGATTGTTGAATGTAAACAGACGTTAAATGGCACAATGCCTAACAAGCACTCGGCCACCATTCAAAAAGGCAAAAAAAAGGGGGGAGAAGAAGACGTTAAGTGTAAATCAACAGGACTGGTATTAAAATAATTAAATTAAAACGTTGTAGAGGGTATATTATGTGTATATAAAATTGGCCTGATCCGACTTGATATGCGTATTTTAAATAAAACTTAAGCTAAGCTTTCTTAGTAATGCAGATATCCAAGCCGCCTTAAATATCTGCATAATGAAATGCAAATTTCCGAGAACTAAATCAAATGAATTTTAATATTAATATTCCTTATCATTTTATTTAAAGCTGTTATGGTTTATTGAAAATGGTTATCGTAGAATATCGGCATCGTAAGATACCCTATGCTCAGTTTTTAAAAAGCATTGCATATTTAAAGCCGCTGTCTAAAATAAATAATATAAAAAATTATTTGGAAGTTTGTGGGTGGTCTTAAAAAGCAAATTACAATATTTTAGCTCTGGCATCTTAAAACTTTGCGAGCTACGGGTTTTTGCTATTCTTCAAAGCAACCATTTGCAAGCGAATTTTTACATTTATAGATCGTATCAAAATGTCCCTTGAAATTACAGGGTATAAAATGTTTAGTACCAAAAGTGTTGCCATGGAGCATAACACGAAGTTAAAAGTGGATTGTCAGAATTCTCCGAGTTAATAAACGCCTTTTATGGTCTCTGTGGCAAGCCAACAGATGAGAACCCTCAGGATTGCGAATCACCACAAGGGGATTTCACATAAATTGCATTGAGTTGAAGTCCGCTAAGATGAGTCCTCCTCTCAATCTCCATTTTCACCCGAGTGTCCTGGCTTCAATGGCTGGTATACCATAAACCATATACCATATGGTGCAAATCAATCTGGTAGGAAAAGCTAACTTAATTTATGGTGCAGTCCGTGCCATTTGTGTATACCAAGGTCCTTTATCAAGGGGGGGCTTAGAAAGGGGGAGTTTTGGGGGGGGGAGTGTGGCTGGATGCATTTATTCAATTGCCATCGCAATAAATGTTTGATGGGTGGAGAGGAGAGGAGGTGTGATTTGGAGGCAATGTTTTTGATACACACAAACACAAACACAAATAGTACTTATAACAAACACACTCACACACACACGCACACTAAGAGAGAGTCGCGCTCTTGGCCTACCTTTGCGCTCATTTTCTTTGTGCGCCCAAAAGAAGGCAATGCAATTTTTTCAGCTCCCTACGCTCGCTTTTCACCACCCTTTTCCTCGATTTGTTGCTCTTTTCGTTGCACTTCCGCAAACTGTGTGTGATGGATGTTTTGGCGGCCCCCTACGAATGGGTAACACTTTCAGCCGATCAGTAATTCATTTAAAACTCGGCCTTCTGCATTTTTGCTCGCGGGCAAACAAACCGCTCTGGGCCACAAAAAAAAAACGACAAGTATCCACCAACAGGGCCAACTTTCAGCCAGCACCAGCAGCAGCGGCAATCGCACTCGAACTAGCTTTTCCTCTCCGATTTCACTCGCTGCAGGGAGGCGGGTGGGTTGGACTCCCCCAAAAAGGAAAAACCATAACACAAACGTAGTAAATGGGCAAAACACACACAAACAGAGAGAGAACGAGGGCGCCGAAGGGGGCAGATGCAGATTCGAACCCTTAGCCGGAGAAACTGGTCCAGTGCGCAGGATCCGTTCGCCTGGTGGCAACCCTGTCCGGTTAAGGTTGCCAGCGTGTCCCAATTGGATTTGATTACCTATCGATTCTACGCAGGATATCGAGTACTCAATGCCAAGATATTCGAAAAAGTACTCATGGTTTTAAGATACAATAACATTGAATTCATTTACAATTGTCCTAAAGCAGTTGATCTTATAAAGGGATAATTTTTTTATGTTTTATGTTCTGAAATAAAATGTATATCTAAAATAATTACTAGCTTACTGTTTTATATGGTGTTAAGTTTATTAAAATCGGACAATGATATCATATAGCTGCCATGGGAACGATTCAAAAATTCTGCGGAAAATCGACATAAATTTATTGTTTATTAATATACACGCATAAAAATCCAAATATAGTCGTTTTATAAAATTTGGAGTTTTTCTAAAATCTGCAAGGTAAAATAAAATTCGGTTTGCCAAAGTATTTTACGATTTGAATATATTTCTATACGAAACGGTTTCTTTGGGTCTTTACCACTAACAGTTTCAAAAAAATTGTTCAATGAATGTATCATTCGAAGGTAAATGTCACCTTTCCGTTTCACTATCTTCACTTCGCCAGGCCGAAAGACAAAAATATAAACTATTCAATGGTTGGGAGCCGCACTGCTTGGATGTCACATGGATTACCATATCGCCCGACCTAAATTTGCCTTACGTCACAAGCGAGAAAGCAAATAATTTGCACTAGCCCAGCAATTGTGTTAAAGCTTTTCGGTTTCTATCAGCCAGCCGAACGGCAGCCACAACGTGAATGCATTGTTTGGCTCCCTCGGAGCCACTCGAATCACCTGAAATGTGTGAAACAGATGGAAAACAAAACATGAATGTATGTTACATTTGTAAAATATGACCAACAGAAAAGAGCCGCTGAATGTTAAATGCAGTTCGGGCGATCATCAAAGATGTGGAGATGTCTCCAGCTTTTCGGGCAAACCAACATGGGCGGCCCCCTTTAACCCTCGATGGCCCTGGACCGAGTCGTGCATATCATTAATGACCCAACAAATTAACGTGTTCTATACAGTGCAAAAAAAAAAAAACAAACGAGCAAAAACAAATGCATGAGATTCTCACGTCGACCGAACATTTTAACCGCATCCACATCATATTGCGTGTTTCGAATTTGAAAATAAACTAATCCCTCCGATTTAGGTAAGTTTTGTGAACGCTGGCAGGCGAATCTTTAATGCACTACCAAACCAGTAAGTAACTTCTACTTACTCAGTATCCAATACTAAAATATGTTGCATCGCGGCCAGCCTGATTTTGATTAACAACTAAAAGAGGTTCAAAACTATACGAAATATGAACACAAATAATACAACTGAAGTTGTTCGTTTGTTTTTTTTTTTAACATCCAAAGACTATTTAAAACAACATTTTTAACATCCAAAGACTATTTAAAACAAAAAATTATAAATTAAATATAAGATAAATATAAATGCAACACTAGTTTGAAGAGTACTTTCAAATTAAAAATCAAAAAAAATTGTTATGCAAATGTTTCTATCTTCAGAGCGACGATCAGTCGAACTTAAAATTCCCTTTAAATTGAGTGGAAAACAATTAAAGTCAACAACAACAAATGATGATGACTGGCAACAGCAAATAGCGATTGCGATTGAGAGCCGGGCCTGTGAAACGAGTTTAAAACCGTCGCCGGAACTTTGTCAGCGGTTTAGTTGGAGTAAAGCGCGCAATCGGTAAACATGTCGAATTTCAATCGGATCTTGAGTGTCAGCATTGTGATCTGCTTGGCACTCGCCAAATTAAGTGCGGGTGAGTGGGGTCTGGAAAATCGATCAAAAACGAAATAGAAAGCATAAGAACCTAACAAGCAGCTAACAAAGCTAATAGAAACCATGCTAGAAATTCAATGGAAAGAAAGTAACTCTCGCAAAACTTAACAAACCAAACAATAATGGATAATAGTGCACTGCAAAATCATTTTTAGTTGGAATATTAAATAACCCGTTTTAGAAAATATTTTTTTTAATTAAAAAAAGTGATTTCTTTTTTGGCAAGAATCATAAGAGAAGTGAAAATTACTTTACAGTGAAAGTTTTGATTTAATAATTCAATGTATGCTACGCACTAGGAGAGATTTCTAAGAGTTTCTTGCAGTAGTGCCATAAAAAGATATCAACAATTTTACAAATAAATTCTAGTAAGATGTGCTAAATAGCAAAACAAACAAAATTACTGAGGTCATGCAGTAGGTTGGCTGTAAACGATGCATCAGCTGCGCGTGCAGTATGTTTATTTTATACTCAGATCAATGAATCAGCTAAATGTATTAATAATTTTTTTTAAATGGCGTTCAGTTCTGAGGTGCGTGGCTGCTAATGCTTCGTTTACGACCAACATAATTCGTTTTCCAAAGCTGATGCATCGTTTACGACCAGTTAAATGGATATAAATTTAGAAAGTACCTTTCAACTTGGATGCTAATACTTCTTTCATTAATCCAGTGGACGCTCAGGCCGGAACGGTGCACTGGAACAATGGGAATACGGCTGGCGTGGGCGCCTGGTCGAACGCTCAGTCGGGCGGAATGCATCCGCCGGGCAGTCTCAGTGGCCAGGATCCGCAGTACAGCTACGGCTACGCAGGAATCGATTCGAGGGGCTCCTACGGCGGAGCAGGCGGTAACGGAGCGTACTACGTAAGCGGCACGGATGAGCACGGCCGACCCTTTTCCTACGGCAACCAGGCCGGGCAGCCCGGACAGCCCGGCTACATGGGCGTGCGGCCGGATCCCAACTATCCGGGGTCTTACGGCTACCAGAACGCGGCCGGGGTCATTAGCACCTCGATGCTGGCGACCTTGGCATTAGCAATTGGCCTAACGCTGGCCACCACGCGACTTTAATGCGGTTGCAGCGCGGGAAGTGTTTATTGTGTGCGGCGTTTTTTTTTTTACTTAATTTCTAAGTTTAATTTATGTTAAATGTTCAAATATGTAAATTTTATTATTAATTAAAAAACTGAATATCAGGCCAATGGTTTGTTTTTCTAAGTTTTTTGCTCGTTATGAGATTTCAATAAAAATTAACAATAGTTAATACTTTTTCTACTGACACTTTGCCAACAGAAGTACAGAAGATCTACAAAAGCCAATTCCAATTTAAATTAATTATAGTTAAAAAAAAGGAACGAAATGGTCGAATTTACCAATTTGGAAATAACATATTTTAGAGATCATGAAAAACATTTAGTTCTGTACATTTACATTCCTATGGCAGCTATTTTATATAGTGACCCGATTTATATAGAACTAAATTCAAATATTTGAAAAATAAAATGAGACTAAATAAATTAAATTGAAGGCCCAAATTGATTTTTAACTATTATATTTTTTAAAGCTATATAATAAAGTCGTTTAGGGCGACCGGTTTCGGTTTACAACCTGCAATAAAAATAAGGCTTCTGAAAAAATGACACCCATTACTAATTTTGTGTAGAAACGAACAACCAGACAGCTTGTGATAAAGAATATGAATACTTTGTGGGGTCGGAAATGTTTTCTTCACTGCGTTAAAAGTTTTTTACTGGATTTGTAATACGGGTTAAAGCTGAAAATAAACCTGAAAAAAGCATATCTTTGGAGAACAGAAAAAATATTTTGAAAAAATTATTTCTTTAACTTTTTGAATACTGTTCGAAAAGTATGTTAATAGCGGAGGAAACTTGATACTTGGATACTTGATTTAATTTTAAATAGCCGTTTTCAAGCATGGTCTTAGGGGATATTTTATATTAAACAAACAACTTTCGAATATTACAACCGGATTTTCATATTTGACAAAAAAGGCATTCTGCCGATACTCTCAATATTCGCTAATTGTGTGCATCTGAGTTCGTGAAATTCACAAATTATTGTTTCACACGCAGCTGCGCAGTTTAGTGACTAAGAAGCCAAATTAGCAGATCAGATACGTCATCTTCGTGGGGCACGCCCACACAATTGATATAGTTAGACGAGCAACGCCCATGTAATTGGCCTCCTCCCGGAAGGCGAACGCCAAACAAAAACACCCAAGAAACGAAATCGAAATGAAAACAAACACAAAGACAGCTATAGATATAGCTATAGATATAGAGACAATAAACAAGTAAACAAACATCGGACGGGTCGACACCTGTTGATAAAGCTTTGGGCCAACTTAACTGAGTCACAGGGCCCCGTGAGCTCATTGGCACCCCAAAAAGATACGAGAACACACAGAATACATGTGTTTGCATGTAAATATGGTCGGATAATTGAGACATGCACTTGTAGGCACTAATTAGCACATAGAGAAGCATACGTACTGGATCTGACTTTCTTCTACAACGAATATAACCGAGGGTACAATTTACCCGGCGATTAACTTAATTGCCCAAGCAAAAGATTTTGTTTTCGCCTGTTCTGTCGGCTACTAAGCGACGCGATGTCAATGTCAAAGTATGATCACTTTTGATTTCGGTTCTCAGTCTTACGTGCTGGCGATGATTATCATTCCCGCCACTTTTTTGGGGGACGTGATGTGTCAGGAAATAGAGCTGGCGGATCCGACTCATGCAGGCAGGGAAAACCCTGGACATTTGGTACTTAACCAACCATAAAACCAATAAAAATGTATACTTAAAAGAAAGGTTTATGACGATTGAATCTAAAATTTCTTTTAGGGCAGCAAATACATATACCGAAACACGTTTAGTATTTTTATCACTCCATATCTGGAAACACTCGTTTTTAGTGTTTTTCGGTGAAGGTATTTGAATTCGTACAAGTGATTAAGAATGCGTCAAAGGGTTAGTCAGAACTAATAACTTCTTGATAACATTGCGGTTTTAGTAGCCTGTTTCTGCAAAGTATGATGATAAATCCTCCATAGTAATTAAAAATGTATTGCTTTAGTAATTTGTGGTGTCCATGCCCAAATCGATTCAATCGAACCCATGTAATTGCACTTGTTTATTCGTTTTTATTGCCGCGTCGTGTGAACTTGATTTGGCCTGGATCGAAGGTTTTACTAAGGTAATACCAGTAATAATGCCCGAGTGTCGATACCCAAAAGTGAATTACGAGACTTCGTGTAATCTGCCAAAAAATACATTTATTAGTCTAGTAATAAACAATAATTATATTGGATTTGTTTTATTGATCTTGTTTTGTTTTTGTTCTTCCTGGTTTTATTTGATTTATTTTGTTCTTGCTCGGTTTAATGTTCGTTTTGCATTTGTTGTGTTGTGGATTTTCAATGGTACGTTATGGTTTTTAAAAAATGTATTTCTTAAAGCAAATATCGAGGAAAAAGATCAGACCGTGGGCTCACAGACGTATAACTATAACTAATAACTATATGGAAATTATCATGCCGAACTACTCTGATCAGATTGGAATGAAATGATTTTCAAACGAGTTTCTTGGGCTTAAGATTTCTCTACAAAATACAATAAGGGATCCACATTTTTGGTTCATCTTTAAACTTGTGTGGGTGTGTGTGTGTGTGTGGTTTTGTTTCTGTTAGTGGGGGTTCACTGTACTCTGCTGTGAAGAACGCCAAAACCTTGGACGTCTCCCATCTATAATACAAACTGATTTGAATTGCTTTCTGTTGTGGTTGCTTCCTGTGGTACCTTCAATTTGCCTATAGAAATATATATGTGTCCTTGTAATTGGCCCAGCAGGAACAAGGCTCCAGTATATATATATATATATCTATATATATATGTATATGTGTATGTATATGTATATGTATTGTGTATATATAATATATGACATACAAATATATTGTTTTGTTTCGTTTTGTTTTGTTTTGGTAATTTAGGCTACAATTTTCGGTTGCTTGTTGATTTTCACTAATTGAATTCATTCATCGTCCTGCTTCTCTAGGTATACATATGTATTAATGGATCGATCCTTGTGTGCGTGAGTGTGTGTGTGTGTGTATGTGTGTGTGTGAGTTCCTGTTGTTGTATACTTGTATCATATGTCTGGCTATGCTCCCTATATATGTGTGTATTTATATACGATTTCTATCTTTTGCACATTCTATTCCAAAGCGTCGACAGCATTTCCAGTTGTCCTACGTTGCTTTACCCATAGCTCTACACATTGCCACGCCTACTAGCCTACACCTAACCGCCCACGCATCCAGCAGATCTGGAAACAAATTCTTTCCATTGTCAGCCCGAAAGTAGGCTCCAAAAAGAACTCTCCGCTTTCATGTCACAATTGAAGACCAAAAACCAAAAACCAAAAAGAAAAACAGGAAAAAAAGGTTTAAAAAATACTACATACAATTCATATATATATATTTATAAAACTATACACTTGTGCATAGATGTATGTGTGTTTGGGTGTGCATAAATAGGTTTTTTTTTATAATCGCATTATGTTTTTTTGTGTATTTGGTATAAAACAAACTATTTGCAATACAAACTTAGTAACTAAAAACGTTAAAACTAAATTAAATTAGGATTAAAAAAAATATTTATATGAATACGGATATTTGTTTGTATAGAACTATATATATATATATATATATATATATAGATATATATTTATATATTTAATATAATGTGACTTGTTGTTGTTTCTGTTGTTCTTTTTTTAAACATTATTTTTAACTGTTTGTAGCTGAATTATAAAGTAAAACAGAAAATGATACAGCTGAAATCAAATTTCCAAAAAAAAAAAAGCTGAAAACAAAAAATAATTCTCAATTCGAGAGTACAAAATGTTTTTCCTTCGCTTACAAAAACTAACAACAACTAAAAAAATATACAAACAGTGCCTAGCAAAAAATCGATGTCAAGTCTTCCAGTTTTCCGCCTTTGGAGCCAGAAATCTCATTTCAAAGAATTAATAGTTAATGTTAAGTTGGTCTGTCTGTGCGCAAAGTATTTGCCTGAGCATCAATAGGTTAAGCCTGGTTTTACATATATCCGAATTTATTGACTAAATTAAGATTACGAAATTTTGAATTTTGGTTGTAAATGAAACGAGAGTGGAAAACCGTAACTCAAGATAGCCTCGAAAATTATTGATGGTTGTTTGTTGAACAAATAAGGGGCCCGATTCAATTCTCCCTTTTAATACAGAAATCATTAGGTTTTAAAGTCGGTAGACTGGCGGCGTCACAGAATTTTTAAAGTTTTTGATGCGTTTAAAAGACTACCTATAGTTTGTACGCATAAAACTTATTTTACTTTACTTAACGAGACACCTGTAATGTAGTACACTCTGTTGTCGAGTTGTTTAATAATTTTTTTTTTGATTAATGATTTTCAATTGGCTGCCTGTTAAAAGAGTTTTCTGTGGCGCCCAAAACATTTAGTTAGCAAAGGTTTATTAAAATGATTTCTGAGAAACAAGGGAAAACTGATGGATATTTATATCGGCCATCGGTTCAAGGAATTTCTTAAGACAAGAGCAAAAGCGAACGGAAAACTGTACACAGAATGCTGACTAACTCGATATTAATGATAATAAATACATACAACTTAATAACAAAAATATCCGTGTGTGTGTGTGTGTGTGGGAAGGGGGGGGGAAAGGTTGGTGTTGGCTGTTGTCAGAATAAATAAGTTAAGTAATACAATGTAAAATATTTAATGCTTCTCCCAGCAGTTGCTTCCCAAAGTAATCCCTTTCTTTCTCACATCTAAGTGCGAATCCCTCGCCTACAATTTGGTCTGTTGTGTGTCTGGGTGTTAGCCGTGTGTCTGGGTATCTGGGTAACTGGGTGTGTAGCTGTGTGTCTTCTATCCTGCCCCGACAGAGATAGTGTACGTGTACGTGTACGTGTCCGTATCCGGGGAACTCCGAACGAGGAGGCGCAACGAGAGCAATCGATATTTGGTTAGGAACAACGAATGCAGCTGCACAGACCGGACCTCTTATTTGCAAGATTTCGCATCTCTCTTTCAACAACAAAGACAAACAATATCTTTAACAATACTGTAGACTGATCAAAACAATGTAACTTTCTTTCTATGATTTCCTTTGCCTTGTCCTCTGTCAGGGCCCTCGTTTCGCTCCTCCGATCGCCATCGCCATCGTCATCGCATTCCGAATTTAAGCTAGTTAATGTTCTGTTCCTACGCTCCAAAGTTCATCTATCATGCCTTGCGCTAGCTGGAGCCGCACACCAGCCCGTTCTTCTGGGGCAGCTTGAGCAGACGTCGCGTCCGGAACTCGTAGGCTCTGCGGCAGAACATGACCAGCTCCGGATTGGTGTGCTCCGGCACCGTTCTCACCGAATGCCTGGGAACGGTGCCAGTGCCACTGGTACTGGTTGGCCTTCGCGGCACGATGCTCACGTCTTCCACATCCTCCTCGGCGGCACGCAGGCGGCGACGATACCTAAGGGGGGTGGCAGGAGAAACATCGTTACAATCCAATCAACAAGAACAGCTCCTCGAGCGTTCAACTCACCTGCAGTACTCGCTGAAGGTGAGCACATAGCACTTGTCCTCGACGCAGGCCACCGAGTTGTGGTCGCGGTGCCGGGAGGCATAAACCTCGTCCGGACAATCGTTGCGCTGCCGTCCCTGATCAGTGTGCTCCGGCCGATAGTACCACAGCAGCGACATCATCATCTCCCCTTCAAGCATAAGTTTACGATTTTACATTAGGTTCGATAGTCAAATAATAACAAAAAGGGGAATTTGGTCTGCAATCAGTTTTATAGCTTCTTTAATTAAGTGTTTTTGTACGATGTGATTGGATTGACTATGAATATAATTAAAATTAACAATGTATTTATATTTTGATTACGAAAATTAGTTATGATTGACATAAATGAAGATGTTGGCTAATTCGATCTTATTAAAAAAACTCTCTGTAAAATTGTTCGTGTAATTTGCCGTATGCACATTAAGTATACGCAGAAACAGTACCATAAACTGGGTATTCAGGATATTTCGATAAATGTATTCTTCGATCGTTTCAAAAGCAACTATGAATTCTAGCCGTTAGATTTCTATACAATTTAAAATGTATTTTTGAAATCGCAAAAAATATTTATATCTCAAGTAACGTACATTTCTTATTAAAAAATAAGAAAAAAAAATATTCTCTAAAACGATTATAGTTCAATTTTTATCCGAACATGTTTAGGAACAATAAAGCTATGTGAATTTTTCGATCGTCCTTTGGCAGCTGTTTGATATCGGGATTGATTTTTATAAAATTAAATCGTTATTCCAAAATTGTAAACCATCACCATGTTTTGGAATCACTTTAGGAAACGTACACAAGAACGGACGGACAAAGTGGTGCTAATATTATAGGGTTTATAGGGTCGAAAATATCTCCTTCACTGCGTTGCAAACTTTTAACTCAACTTATTATATGTGATTCCAATTTTCCTATTCTTTGCCTAACATTTCATTGAAATAGCTTAAAAACTAATGGGTAGAATGCATCAATTTACTTTATATATATATATAATAATATATAATATAATAACATCTGCGGACTGATTGCATATGCGTGGAAATCCCTGCTAGAGAATATAGTCAACTGAACCGAGAGATTTTCGAACTTGTTTGCGCACACACAACAAATTAATATGAAAATTATTGTATGCTTACAGTTTATAAGCTTGTAAATTGTAAAGTATTAAATGGGGAAACTAAGTAAGTGAGTTAATATTGATTTTATTATATATCCCATGAAATAATAACAAACTTTGGCGGCAAAGGAATCACGAACACACTTAAACTTATATAAACATATTTTGAGGGGCCCTACAGCTTGCTGTCCCTATTGGCGGGACACTCACCGTCTTCTGGGTTCTGCCAGAGGTGCGCCACCTTGGCCACATAGGGCAGCTCGTTGTCCTCGTTGGCCTTGAGCAGCACACAGTCCCGCAGCCGGATGATGTCGCCCTCCACATGCCGCATGGCATCGTAGCAGGTGCGCAGCACCAGCGGATCGTCACTCTGTGGCATACAAAATGTGGTTAAATGGGCAAAAATGCATAAGACCAATCGCCATGGCGCACACTTACGTTTAAAAAGACGGCACCCTGGTAGGCCTTGCCCGACCACATCCATCCGTTGTTCCACTTGGGCACCACATTGGCCTTGGTGGCCGGCGGCAGGGTCACATCCAGTTCGTAGCTGACGCCACCGGGTCGCTGCCTCTGGCGCTTGCGATTGCCGAACTTGCAACGCGATCTAGCCCGCTTCGTGTGCGTCGTCGTCGTAGTCGTCGTCGTCGTAGACGTCGTCGTCTGACCTTGACGATTGGGCGGATGAGGAATGGCGGTTGCTTGGACGGCAGCCACCGCCGGCTGATTGGGCACCAGAAACTGATGCTGCTCATCGGAATGTTGCTGCTGTTGGGAGGTTGCTGTTGCTGTTCCTGTTGCTGTTGCTGTTGCATCGCCGACATTCGCTGACGGCGACTCACTGAGCTTTTGAGCCTGCAGATCTGCCGTCTGGTACTCATTGTTGTTGGTCTCCTGATTGACAGCTGTTTGCGTTTGTGTCTCTGCCGTGGATGCAGCTGCTCCCGCTCCCGCTCCCGCTGTAGACTTCTTGCCCTTGCTCTTGGTCTTTGGACCGGCGGCGGCCTGTTTGCGTGGCTTCTTGCAGGGCGGCAGGGAAGCGGCTTCCGCCGGCGGCTTCTTGGTCTCCGACTTGGAACGCTTCTCGGCGGCGGGACCCTGCTTGCCCCGTTGATCGTCGGGGGCCAGGGTCAGCGGCGAGGCGGCGGCATAGAGGCCACCGCCCACCGCCGTTGGCGCCTGCTTGCGACTGCTGTGGTTCAGCTCCGGATCGCTGAAGTATCCCCGACTCAGCGCCGTGTCCAGACCCTCGAGCAGATGGAGAGCGGCAATCTCTTGCTTTCGCGGCCGCGCCCTCTTCGGCGAGGCACTGGGCGTGGCCGAGCTGCTGAGCTGCTGCTGCTGCTGCTGCTGCTGCTGTTCCTGCATGACGGCCGCTTCGGTTCCGGCCTCTGAAGGCGTTACCTTTGGAGAAGCTTCTTGTGCTGCTGCTGCTGCAGCTGCTGTTCCTGCTGCCGCCGCCGCTTCGCGTTGCTGGCGTCGCTGTTGCTGCTGCTCGCGTCGCTGCAAACGCATGCGCTGCTGCTGCCGCTGCGTGAGGATCATCTGACGCCGCTTGGCGTACTTGGCCGGGGCACGGCCGTGGCGACGGACGAACCGACGGCCGGGACACAGGTAGTCCTTGGGCTCGGCCTGTTTGATCAGGCTCTTGTAGCTGTGCTTCGTCTTGGTCTTCTTGTTGCCACCGTTGGAGGCCAGCAGGTTGATCCGCTGCTTGCTGCCACCGGGCTTCTCCTTCTCGTTCTCCTTTTCCTTTTCCAGCTCCTCCTCTGTTTTGGCCACAGGAGGAGTAACTTCCTGCTCCTGATCCTGCTCTTGATCCTGCTCTTGATCCTGCTCTGGCTCCGTTTTGATGGTGGGCTTGAGGTCCGGCAGTTGGCTGATATGTGTGCTGACCTCCTGCTGGGTTTCGCCATCGTGCTCGATTTTGATTTTGGTTTCGGCTTTGATTTCCGCTTTAAGTACGAAAGGCAACTCTGGTCCCGCCTCCGCATCCGCTTCCTTCGGCTGCTTTAACTGCTTCTCCGGCAGCTGCTGCAACTGCTGCTGCTGCTGCTGCTGCTGGGCTGCATAGACCATCTCTCTGGCCATGCTCTTGCCGATCCTCGCCTTGCGCGGCGGCATTCCTGCTGCTGCTGCTGCTGCTGCCGTCGCCGCTTGAGGGACGCTGTTGACTGGGGGCGGGGTGCTGCAGGTGAGGTCGTACGCCTCGATGTGCTGATGCTGCTGCTGATGCTGCTGATGCTTTTCCAGCCGCAGACCCAGACGCAGGCGCAACTCCAGTTCGGCCTCCTGCTCCTGATCGTCGAGCAGCTTCTCGTCGCTGGCACAGTAGCTCTCCGGCGGCGTGGGCGGCGGCATCACGTGCGCCTCGTACTGCATCTTGGTCAACTGGGGATTTGGATTTTGAGTCGGATTCGGATGTTCGCCCTGGAGCTCCGTCTTGACGAGCATCTGGCACTGGGTGCCCGTGGTGGCGGTGGTTGCCGTCGTGTTCGTATTGGTTGCTGCTGTTGCCCGCGTGGTCATCTCACTTGTCTGGCTGCTGCTGTTGCTGCTGTTGCTGGTGTTGCAGCTGCTGCTGGTGCTGCTGGTGCTGCTGTTGGTGTTGCTGCCACTGTCGCTTTTGTTGGGGGTCACATTTTTCACTGGGCCTCTACTGGTAGTCAACGCTGACGCTGTAGTTGTTGTCGTAGCGCTGCTGCAGGCAGTCAAAGTACTGTTGCTGCTGCTGGCGCTGCTGTTGTTGCTGCTGTTGCTGCTGCTGCTGGTATTGCTGTTGCTCGAGGCACTCAGCAACATATTGCTGCTGCTGCTGCTGCCGCTGCTGCTGTTCTTGCTGCTGCTCTGGTGGTCGATGTTGCTGATGATGTTGCTACCAATATGAGGCCCAGTATGGACGTTTTTTGGACACGATTGTGGCATTGGACAGGGACACTGCGGTGGATACTCTGCAAAGAGCCAAGGCGGATTGGTGTTTTAAATAAATGTTTCTGCCAAGGAGTGTGGCCAACTTATCGATCATAATAGGTATCTGAACTTCATTTGAAGAGGATGCAAAATTATATTTCGATTTATTTCAGGAATTTTCATAAGATCCTTAATTTAGAAACTTTTCGAGACAAATTTTTAAAAATTGGTCCTTTGTAACCAAAGTTTAGTCTATGCTTTATCAACTAAATACTAGTTTTAGGGACTTTCTATAACTATGCAGCCTTAATTATCATTTATACCGCAAGAGACAACATCAGAAATTTCAACATGATCAGTGTACTTAATTCAGCGATTTATATTCATATCCTTTACACATACAACAATTTTCTGAGCTTTAAAAATTAGCAAACACACGCACAGATAGACAAGGCTATACTAACTCTGCTAGTTATGCTGATCAGGAGTATACTTACAGCTGCGGTCATAATAATGGTAGTGGCACAAAGTAAAGTTCCCAAAAACATACCTTTAAGGTATAGGAAAACTTTTGTTTTAATTTATCTTAATGATTAGTTACCAATGAAGAATTTATTTATAATTTTGATATTATTTAAGTTTCAAGAAAAATGAATATTGTTAATAATTCTATAAAATTCACTTATGTAAGTGTTGTAAATATAATTTTTCTCGCTTTTTGTTGGAATACAAATATTTGCTTTTACATTAATATTTTTAATTTAAAAAATGAGCAAATTTCTTTTGGTTTTTATATTTTATATTTTTTTTTTTTTTTTTTTTTTTTTGAAAAATGTGAATTTTTCTAGATGCACCATTTTGATCATAGTATTAGCTTCATAAAATATAAAAGTATAAAGTTCAAAAGGTGCTGCAAAACTAGATTTTATTGCTATTTCCATAAGCTAAAAAAAACTACTATTTTCATGACCCCAGTAAAATTTAAAAGCTCTTCAAAAACCATATCGAGATCAATTTGAGTGACACGCGTTTCAGTTTCCTTCGACGTTGGAAAGTGCTGGCTAGCTACGTTGGCAACTCCTCGCAGTGGCTGCACTGCATCATCCGGGACTGGACCATACTTTTCCTTACCCATATACGGTCCTTGCAGGCTGCGCGTGTAGCACTGGCCGGAGGCGGCTCCTCCGCCGGGACTGTAGCCGGCGTAGTAGCTGGGCGGTCCGGGGTAGTGCTCCAGGTGCTGCTGCTGCTGCTGATGGTGTTGCTGAGGCTGCTGCTGCTGCTGGTGGGCTGGGACCAGCTGGCTGCCAGCTGGTACACCCGCTGCTCCTGCTGATCCTGCTGCTCCCGAACTGCCGCTGCTGCTGCTGGTGGGCGGCTGCGGCTGCTGTTGCTGTTGCTGCTGCGACGGCGGCGGACCGGACGAGACGGGCGGCGGCGGTGGCGGCGGCTGTTGTTGTTGTTGCTGCTGCTGCTGCTGCTGCTCGTAGAGCTCGTGCGGCGGTGGCGGCGGACCAGTGTGCTGATAGTAGGGGTAGCGGCGGTAGGCGCCCGGCGGCGGCGGCGGAACCTGCGGATGGGCGGCAGGATGGCCGGCGTGCGACGGCTGGTAGACCTTGCTCGAGAAGTAGGGCTGGTAGGTGGGCGGCGAGTAGCACATGACCTCGCCCGGGTATGGAGCGTAGTAGTTGGGCGGATAGGCGGTCGAGTAGTGCATCTGGGCCGCGTGCATCGAGCGGGAGTAGGGCACGCCCTGGTGGGCGGCGGCGGCTGCTGCAGCGGCTGCGGCCGCCACGGCACTGGCCGGATACGGCTGTGGCTGCGGCGGGTGCTGCGCCTGCTGCTGCGGATTGTGGGCGTGGCCGTGTACGTGGGCGTGCGCGTGCGACGGTGCCTGCGACTGATCAGCGGCTTCGGCGGCCGCCTGATGCTGCTGCTGCGTGGGCGAACCGACGACGGGGGCGGCGCCGTCCTCCTCCTGCAGCTTCTTCACTTGCGCGGGCGGCGGCGGCGGGGCGGCGATCACATGCGGTGAGATCAGCGGTCCAGCCGGCTGATAGTAGCCTGCAAAATACATAAACGAGATGGTAGAACGTTAGTCATCAATCCAGAGTTTCAGTATTAATAAATTGTATTTCTATGGATTTATGGGCTTATCATGTACAAGAATTAATAAATTGCATATCTATGTATTTATTTATAATCATTTAAATTAATTTTCATAAAGTTATTGTATATGTCCTACATAGCAAGACTATGCCTTTGCTACAAGTCTCGTTACAATACAAGTTTTTGGAACGTAGACTTATTATTACGATTATGCCCCGATTAATATAAGTATTTTATTGAACTGATTGAGCTCGTAAGATAATTAATATTTGTGTAAACATTATTTATATTATTTTTTTATATACAAATTTGGGGAAAACATTGGAAAACGTATTTTGAATGACATGTCTCAATTTTTAAAGTAAAAGTATAAATATGAAAGGTGATCAGTCAAAGGTATAAAAATCAATGATAAAATAATTATTTCTATAATTATATAATGTTATTTAATTGCCAAATATATTGCAAAATATTGTAAAATAATACTTTTAACAAATCAGCAAGGTTCAAGTTAAATTTCAGCAAATTAATATAAAACCAACTAAAGTAAAAAGTTTAGTTACAAGAAAATATTGAAAAATACTGGTTGTCCATTGCAATTTCAAATAAAATTAGTCATTTCACTGATATTGAATACAAATGAATGGTTAAATAAATAACAAATATATTAGCTAAATATGAAATAAAATAATACATTTACTAATTTGTTATCAAAACCAATAGTTTATAAGAAAAATACAACATAAATAAATATATTTTTGATATGCATGCGAGGCTTGGTTTTGAAATTCTACTTTAGACTAACAACGTGCGATTTTGTAGAGGTCTTGCTTTATTTTTAGAATTAGTACACAAATTTATTGACATTTAACCCATTTAAGTGCAATGGCCATAACGAAAATTCTAGCGAAATCTACTAATCAATAATATTTGCCTTTGACCTTTGACCTATTTCCTATTTTGTTTGATTTTCTGTTTACGGAATAATCAAATTTCGTTTTTGTTTAGTTTTACATTTTAGTAGTATTAATGCAATAAAAACCTAAACTCAATGCTAAACGGACATAAATGTATGCTGTTTTAAAGGTCGATTTGTGAACTTTGAACCATAGTGTTGCAACCGAAGCAAAAGAGACTTGGAGATTAAAGTTTAATTTACTGTTAATGAGTTTTAGTATATTTTGAAATTATAAAGTTGTTTATAAAGTTTATAAAGTTGTTATGTTTTTAAATGTTCGAACATTCAATGGACAATGGAAATTGTATTGTTTGCGAACTTTCCTGAATTTCAATAATCTTTGGGTTCTAAAAGGAAACGCTTGGGACGACTGGGGTGCCAACTAAGGGAGCTTTTAGTGAGCGGGGGCAAGTGCAAGGCGAGGCAATGCGCAGTGAAGTGCGGCAACAATGCATAAAGTGAAAGTTGGCCTGACCGAAAAACAAAAAATACAAAAAAAAAAAAAAAAACAGCTAGCGAAACCAGTTGAGCGGCTCCAGTTTGCTGCCCACAGCAGCAGGTCGTGTAACGATAGCAACCATCCCACCATACCACCCCCCACCACCCACTGGTGACTCCTTTACCTCTTCCCAGCATGTGGGCCGCATACAAAATGTCGCGAAAATGATGCGCCGCATGCTGTTGCAGGAACGTGAACGACTCGGCTATGTTGGCCGCCAGCACAGCGGCAGCGGAGGCGGAGGCAGAGGCAGAGGCCTCGTCACCTGGCGACGGCGGTACCGCTCTGGCTCCCACTCCCGCTCCAACTCCAACTCCCGCTCCCACTCCAGGACCCAATCCTTCGCTCACTCCCCCCAGACCGGGCATCATACCAGCGGCGGGCGAGAGTGCCGACGAGCAGCAGCCGGCGGATTGGGAGGAGCGGTCCGTTTCGCAGGTGCCGCTGCTGCTGGTGCTGCCCACACTGGAGCAGCGTTGCTGATGTTGCTGGTGTTGCTGCTGATGTTGCTGATGTTGCTGATGTTGCTGATGCAGCTGATGTTGCTGGTGCAGCTGGTGTTGCAGCTGCACGGAAAGCGGCAATTGATGGTGTGGCGGCGTGATGTGGAGCGTGCTCAGCAGATCGCCGGACAGCGGTACGAACTTGTTGTGGCTGGCTGCTGCTGCTGATGATGCTGTTGCTGGTGGCGCCGACTTTTTTGTGGTCTCTTTTAGGCGCATTTTCGATTTGCGGTTCCAAGTATGCCCACTAGCTTTGCTCTCGTATAAAAAATATACTTATGACTTATATATGCTTCTTGTTTCCGTGATATTTGTTGTTGTCGTTTTTTATTTTTTTAATTTTTTTTTTTTATTGTTGTATATAATATTCTTTAATATTGTATTTGTATTGTATATGTATTTGTATATATATGTATATGTATATGTAAGTCAACAAGGAAGTTCTATTGTTAAGGCAACTCTTGTTTTAAACATTTCTCTCGCTTGGTTCTTCAATATTTTTAATACCGCTTTTTGTAGACGTTTTACATAATTTTCCATTGGATTATCTAAAGTTTATCGAATTTTTCATTTGACGGGCTGCAATCACAAAGATAAGTTAGGGAAAAACACATATTGGCCGCGTTCACCGGCTACACTTTGAGCACTTTGTAGTTTTAAAAATGTAAAATGTTCAGTTTATTGGAAATCAATTAGTGATAAACAGTGCTGGAGAACGCGGCCATTGGAACTTTAACGCAGTTGTGAAGTGTTTTTTTAACGAGCGATTTTGGCTAATTCACAAGAGACTTTCTTGGTTGGCAACAAGTTTTTAGCTGTTGAACTGTGTATTTATTTATCAAGAGTTTTAAGCAATTTTCTGGAGATTTCTTTGTTTATTTGGTCACTTTTTGTTTTTGATTTTCATTATAAATCATTAAATTGTATACCTTTATTAGGCATTTTCGTTGTACATTTTTTATTGTTCCCGAGTTTAAAGTTTTTATTTTCAATTTTTTTAAATTTTGATCTGTAGAATTTCCATTTATTTTTCCATATTCTGTTGTCATTTTAATTTGTTTATATTTTATATTGATTTTGACTGCTTCAAAGGCTTTTTGGAGAGGTGTTGCGAAAAGACCCTAGGTACTACTACCATGGAGTTTTCAGACATCAAGTGGCCTAACTAAGAACTCACCTAGACGTGCTTTTCGTACGACAAACCACTGATGAAAGAAACTCTTGCTCCCGATATCAGTCTGTCCGTATTCGCATCTTGCTAACACTATTTCTCGCACCTTCTGTTTCTATAAGCTAAAAAGCCAAACAAACGACCAGTGACGACCAAAACCGAGTATGCACAGCAATGAAACATCCGAAGTTGCAGTGTGTGAAAACCGACGTTGGCAGAGACGCGTGCAGAGACAAAGGGACAGGGACTTCGGCACGTAGCATATAGTACGTAGAGCGCTGACGTCACGCACAATAGCGCCCGCAGTAGTGATGCCGATCTAGCTTTTTTTTATCTTCATTCAAATGTAGTGGAAACAGCCAGGTGGTTTATATAATACTTTAAACGATTATTGAATGTAAAATTAAAAGAAAAAGCAGAATCGATTTGACGATTTTTGAAAAGGTACCGTTTTGGATATTTAAAATTTCTACTAACACTTAAATTTTGTACGTCAAAATTGTCAAATCGCTAATCTTTAAATTTATGCTTTATCTAGTTTTTAAAAGTTAAAATTCCCCCCATTAGGGTAAAAATTTATAGAAAATTAGTTACTAAAAAAGTACGCTAAAATGGATGAAAAACGGATAACCAAACTCTTTGACTGAATTGATTAATTATTTATAAGACTTTATCAGAAGATCAGAACGTAACAGGAACTAGACAAAACATTTGTTGTTTTTAAACACATACATGGTAAAACCGTTTTACTTAATTTTTCTTATTTAGTTTGGATAAGAGTTAGTAAGCAAAGGATGTTGGTGACGTTCAGAACCGAAATTGTGTCAGCACTGGCCAGCATGTGGTGCCGTTGGTAAGAGGGAGGTGGGGCTGACTCTTCGCTAGTCGTTAGAATGGGGGCAGACTTTAAGGGAGTGGGGAAATGGGATAGATGGCGCTCGAGTGCAGGCCAGGTGCTGTCATCATTATTGTTATTTTATGCCATCGCCTGTCAAATGCAAACAGGATTGTGCAAGACAGCACGCAACACCGACGACAATTTGTCAACGCCTGCACTTGACCTACACACACAAACACACAACCGCACTGAGGCACGGTCAGCGGGCGGGGTCACATCCCATCTTGTTACATATATACAGCTACAGCTATTCGCAGCTAATTAGCAATCAAAGTATCTATTGGTAATTATAATAAAAGCCGATGTTCTTTTACATTGTTAATTGTTAATTTAATTTTGTTATTCGCCATTTTAGTAACCAATTAAATGTGAAATCATTTATGGCAAAAAACTTAACTTAAAAACTTTTTATCAGCTTTTCAAACCATGTGAACGAGAAAGCGTGATTTGGTTTATTTTTAAACCTAATACCTCAGTTGGAACGAAGCATTTTAACAACACAATTTTGTGTTGCCATCTATTTTTTGTAAGCTTTTTCAAAATAATCATGAAAACATCTCTCGTTTCCCAAAGAAAAAGTTTATCAAAACGCAAGACTCTATATTGCTGTTACAATGAATTTTGAAATACTGCGCAAACTCGAGAAAATTTCGATTCTTCCTTTTTTCATTTTTGTTTGAAAACTCATTTCAGGATAGTAACTATCGCAGACTATCGCATTAAAAAAAAAATATTATATAAATATGTACATATGTAAGCATGCTAAGCTCCAAAATCAAAAACTGTCTTTTGTCTACCGATAATAATCTGAAAGTAAAGTTTAATTTCAGTTTGTTCTCAACAAATATAGACTATTTAGTCTCTCTAATTAGTCGTACATAGCTGTATATTAAACCGGGACCTGCGTTTGTCGTTCCACAATAATGGAAAAGGTGGTTGGAAGTGGGGGTGTAGGTTGGAGTGAAAGATAAGTATTTAAGGCCAATATAAAACAATTTTGTGAACGTTTTGTCAAAACTCTTTTAGGTCTGAAAATTTAATGATGGTTATACGAAGATGGCTTTATTTTCAGTCCTGTCGACTCAACTACTAGTATTAAGTCCAAACAGCTATCATATACTTTTAATGTAAGCCTTTCATTGTCGGCTATTAATTAAAGATAGTTTTAAATGGTTGTTAACAGTACGCAGAAGGTTATTCGGTTTAGAATAACTCATATTGACATCAGCGCACTCGCAACAAATGCGATGGAGATTAATGTCTTTGGTTAAAAGTCACTAGAAAGCCGATAAGCTGAAAGAAAGTCTTTCGCTGGCATCGATTTTAAAGTCTTCTAGATCAGTGGAGTTAAGTGAATGTCTAGATTACATGTGCAACAATGCGGGTCAAAAGAGAATGGTTATCGCATGTATAAAAAAACAACTGCATTTCTGATAAAACGCTTTTCCATAATCTATCGATTAAGTTGCATCGAAATTTGTTTGGGGGGCTGAAAGTTTTGATGGAAAAATATTTTAGTTTGCTAAAATTTTCTTAACTTAACCTATTTTTCCCTCCACTATTCAACGATTCCCCCATTCACTTTGTAAACGCTAATCGACTCGCCTATGAATCACGTGAGAATTACAAGAAAATACGATAAGAGAACAACTTTGGTCGGCAAACACATGTAAGACACCTTTTTACAGCTCCCAACCCAAAATTCGCAGGTCCGACTAGCCATTCCTAGATTTCCCGCCGCATTTCCCCGCCGCCCCCTTGCCTTCCATGGGGATCGTGGTTCCGGCAATTAGTGAAAAACGCTTGCAATTAAGGGCCACGAACGTCATCATCGTCATCTTTGTGGCTGTTGCCTTTCCATTTTTTTCTTGTTTTTCTGCTTCTGTTGGCATAACCGACTAAGTGAATAATAACGCGTAATAAAATGCACGCAACATGTGCCACGCCTCGAAAGTAATGCACATCGCAGCAGTACTTGTCGATCGGATTAAAAGACCTCTAATCGATTAAATCCTTTACCAAATCCCCGAAAAAGTCAAACTTTCTCTTTTCACAATCGGCAACACCTCCCTTTTTTGGTGAAAAGAATCTGAAGACGAAGCTGAGATAGAGAAACTTCATTGACTTACACAAAAATATATAATAACATTTGTAATTGTAAAATTATATAAACATTTTTAAAAATATGGAACTTTTAAGTTCTTTTTATTTTTTCTCGAATAAAAATCATTTGCCGACGCCTTGACAAAAGTTTTTTTCATCAAAAATGGTTTGCAAATTAAATTTTTCTTCAAAAATCGCATGTCGACTCCTTAAGAATAGTTTTTTTAAGGGGTTAAAAGCCCGCTATCAAACTGAATACCACTTTGTGACAACATATACAATTTAAACAGTTTTTAAAAAACCTTTTTGGTAAACCAAATATGGTAAAAAAAAAAGGACAGAGCTTCTGAGAAAAGCAAAACATCTTAAATCTCGCCGTTTTGCCTTATATTAATGTTTTTATTATTTCGGACCTAACCCTTGAGATTACTATGTTCTAAAGTTGTCATAAATATAATATATCCTAAAGGCTATATGCCGTATTGTACAAAATCAAACAATAAAACCTAGCCCAGGTATTTTACTAATTGTTACCAATAAAAAACCAGGTCATAGCAATCTGTGACTCTTCAATCAAACCGAAATTTCACGTTGCTGTGCTCAGGGCAACATACATTCAGTTCGTATCGTAGTCTCGCACGAAGCACACATACTTTTCACTAACTTGAACAAAATTATAAGTAACGTTTTTTTTTTTTTTCGACTTTTATAAACAAATTTTCGTTTTATCAAATAACCATCTGGGATGTCGTTGCGAATTTGTAAGGGAGAAATGGATCTAAGACCAATAACCTTCGAGGCCAACACTGGCGAGAGGAGGGGTCCTAAGTGCGCTAGGATGTCACCCAGAAAGACGAGGGTGGCAGCCAAGAAGAGGACCGCGAAACGCAAGGCTGTTAGGAAGCCCAAGCCCAAGATAAAGTCGAAGTCCAAGACCAAGTCCAAAGCCACCCGGCAAGCGAGGTCCTGTGGCAAAGCCAGTGGGTCCACCAAAGGTGATCAGGCCCGAAAAGTCGCAAGCCCGAAAAATCGCAAATGTTAACCAGAATGTAAACCAGAAGGTAAACCAGTAGGCAATCATTATTGGATCCTTTAACTGACGAATGCACTTCTAGAATCAGAGAATTGAGAACCTCCTGGGAACAAGTCAATGCCACATGCCAGGAAGGGCCCAATTCCGATTCTGAATCGGAGCTTTTCAATTTTAAAGATTCGAATATAGTCGATTATGAACAATGGTAAAACTATTAGTGCAATATATTTATGGTGAAATAAAGGATGACTCAATTTTTTGTGAAATAAACTAAACAAATTTATTCACATGACAGACTTCCCTTTGATGATGTTATGCCGAGCAACAACAAACTAATATATTCAGTAAATTTGTACAACTAAACCTTAACGTTTCACTGATTTGATGTTCGATTTAGTAATCAAGTGACATTCTTGCCACATGTGGCAATGCCAAGAAGCAACGTTGCAATCGATTAAGACCTTAAGCCAGCAACTTGAACATTAATCAGGAGAATGCATAAATAGTACGTTAAATTAGCATTGACCAGCAAAGACAAATTAAAGGAAAGAAGGAAGAAGGAAGAAGGAAGAGCCCTTCAGAACGGGCAGCTGAAGACAGGGCCCAGTTTCAGTTGCTTGCTCCGGCTGCTTCTGCCGTCGACATTCTCTTTGTATGGCGAGCAGTCAAGAGTAAAAGTCAAATATTGTAATTATGCTAAATACATAATTTACTTTGAATTAACAGCTGAAAACGGACCGAGAACAGCAGGTGAGAAAAGGAAGAAGGCCGCAGCGAAAATATTGAAATTGTTGGCGAGAGATAAGGAAACACTCGCAACCAAGAACAAAAAGCAGAAGAGAAAAACAGGCGGAAAGGGGCGTTACCCTAATGCCGCTCGAAAAACTGAAATAAAATTCAATTAAATTGCTCTCAACTGCTGGCCAGGCCAACAGGTAAAGCCAGGTAAAAGGTACGCCAACCGCCGGCAGTCGGACAAGCAGAAAAGAAACAATATTTTGCGGTTTTGTTTTGGCACCTGCCACAAACCACAGACAGGTGAGGCAAGGGCAAGGGGCTATGAAGAGAGTCAGCTGTTTGCCACCAGCAGCATCGATATGTGGAAGTTACCTTTTCTTAGGGGCCCTCGAAGCAGTCCAAGAAAGGGACAAAGAAAAAAAAAAACACTCGGTTCTGCAGGACCGCAAATGACATCATATCCCTATGCCCTCCGAAGTGGGCGTGTCACCATTCATTAAACTACCTTATAAAGTAAAATAATGGACCCATGATTAAGCAAATTATTTTTGTGGCAGACATGTTCTCGTCGGTTGTTGCATATTTCATTTCTAACCAATTTAGGTCAACTAATAATATAAAAATTTTAAACTTTTTCGTACACGTCCAGCATAATTTAAAATTAAATGTTAGCGTAGAACGAGCTACCAAGATCTAGTGAAATTCCGACATAAAACTGAGCTTACAAAAATATGAATAATAAAATAAAATTTTTTTAATAAGTAAAGCATCATAAAGCAACCTTATAATGGAATACAATTTTCAAAAACCTATTTTTGACGGCTAGACAAAATTGAGTACCGTTTGCACATTCTAATGGTAAGCAAAAAGTAGGTTTTAAACTGTAAAATTACCACCTACTTGGAGTTTATCAAGCAAATGATCCTTTTCTCATGACCGAAAGTGCGATCGGTGAAATCACTGTAAATCAGCCTTGTGCAATTTTTAGACTACATTTTTTTAGAGTAATACACAGAAGACAGAAATGACAATAAAATGTATGAGTACATTTGCATGGATGAATTGTGAAGCAATTGTATTAATTAGATAAGTCCTAAAGGATGAAGTATAAGTCGAAAGACACATTTAGATTAACAACAATAATAAACATCAAGAATATAAAATTATTTAAGAACGACAACAATAGGAACAACAGCAATGGCAACCAATAACACACAGAAACAGAGAAGACGAACATCATTGAGATCAAAATACTCACACAACTATCTTTTCGCCTAAACATTTTCAATCTTTTTTGGGCGTTCCTAAAAACGCGCCCGCGTTTTCAATATGTTTTTCAGTTTGTTTTTTATTTGTTTGCTTAAAATTTTCGCTTGTTTATAGTTGGTTTTCTTTAAAAATTTGGCAATTTTATGGTAAGTGTGTATGCAAAAACAAAAAAATAATGTAAAACACGACCAGCTTGAAATTAAGCGCTCGCGTTTTTATCGCAACTTTTGTGTGCGTGTTTAGTTATCTCGTTTAGATTATTGTTGCTGCTTTTTGTTTTATGACTTTATATTTATTCATTAGCTCGGTTGCCTAGTTTTTACGATTAATTTTTGAAAACTATCCAGATACAAAAAGAAGAGGGGGGGAGAATAAAAACCTCAACGTCGAGGAAAAAAACACTCAAAAAAACGCGGAGCCGAACGAAAAATCGCGTCGTCAGCTGTCGGACCTCTGCCAATCAAATTAACACATTTAAATTAGCATTTATGCATAATGCCCAGACATACAGACACACAATTCAAATACACAGATATGCACAGAGAGACGACGGATGAAATCTGATTTGCAAATTTATGTGAATCGGGACCGAATTGGAATGTTTCTGCCACACAATTCCGGATATAATGAGATCCCCTCGATTTCGCCCCACATTGTTCACTTGAAATCTCTTCGGATTTTTGGTTTCGTGTAGTTTACGTTTTCTCCCAACACTTTACTCAGTTGACCAACTAACTGACCACAAAATAAAAACATTTTACCAAAGCCAGAGAGAATTTGTAATTGTTTTAGACCTACTGAATCCGAAATAAATTCACATTTTAATTTTCCATTCGTTCGTTCTGTTCAGTTTCACTTTTCATTGTTTTATGACATTTTTAATGTTTTTTTTTTGTGTTGTTATTAGCTTAGCTGTTGTTTTGAGTGTCAATTTGAGAAAAACAAGCATACACGTTTTTATAAGATAAGACAGTTGACATCGAGAAAGTTAAACCGACCAAAATAACCTCTTCTAGGAAGTTTTTGATTTTAAAAATTTAAATAAATGTTTGATTTTTCCCTAAAAATGGTCTTTTGCAAAAAGCAAATTATGTAAATTTACAAAAAAAAATTTAAAGATTATTTCATTTTTTAGTTTTTGAAAACAATGTAACTACAATATATATATAGTTCTTTCAACTGACATCGTTTTATGTTTCTCATTAAAACAGAAATATATATTTCCAAGGAATTAAAAGCATGATAAGTCAGATTGCTCAATTTCTAGGAAATTTACTCTGATAAGAAACAGCAAAATTATGTACATAAAAAATCTTTGACATAAAGCAGCTTAAATGATTTATTAAGAATTCTCTGTAAGTAAGACATTTTTTAACAAGAAAACCCCATTCAGGTTCTTATCTCTTTTCTATTACTTGTATTTATAGATTCAACTTAATACACCGAAATAATAAAATTTATATTTAAAATTTCACTGATCCAAAAAATTCTAATATTTGTTTTTTTTAACATATGTACATATGTATGTATATTTCATTCCAATCCAAAGCGTGTTACTTTCTACCAAGAATTCAAATGCAGATAAGCGAAAACAGAAAAAACCAGAATAACGCGGGAGAAGCAGAAAAATGTTTCGGTGACTTCCGGTTTCGGAGTTTTGGTGTTCGACTGAGTGAGTAGTGAGTTCATTATTTTCGCGCCGCCAGTGCTCGTAGTTGAACTATCATCACTTGAAGGCGGCTGGTACCGGGTCCGGAAGGGCTGGGCGTGCAGGCAAATTAACATACACGAAACTATGCGATAAAGCGTGGACTTGGATAGCCAGCGAAATAAGCGAAATGAATGCCCGTCGTAGTACTATTATATTAAGTGAAGCTGTTGACTGACGACGACGACGACGGCGACGGCGACTTCGACGCTTTGCTATGCGAAGGTCACACAACCAGCCGGAGCAACAAATAAAACACAACTGCTCCACCAAGTGACGATAACGAAAGCCAAACCAAAGAGGGCAAATAGTTAATGTAGGCGTATAAAAAGCGAGTAGGCGCTACTAGCACAAAAAGCTGAAGAAGCGGGCAAAGAATGGCAGACTATAAAGCAGAAATGATCGGAAGAAATTTCCATAGAACATATGTATTGTATGTATTCATCGAAGTGATCAGCCAAGTAAAAACACCCAATGGCAGAAACAAACATACAGACATATAAAATATACATTAAGTTTACTATCGACGCAGTTCGGTCAAAATCGATAGTCATAGAAACTAGTTTAATATTTTAGCTAGCCACATTGTGCAGAATCAACTTGAATTGAAATCAACCTGAATTATCCACTACAAAATACAGTCAAATTTAACAATTTTGTGTTAATATTTAATGGAATTATTCAAGGTATAAATAAATGCAGATACAAATCAGTTTATTGCTCATTTAAAGCAACAATATGATAAATCGTAATATTGGATTTTGTTAAACTGGCGATACTGAACAACCAATGAGTCTTAGCTCTTATGTTACATGTGAAAAATATGATAGTAAATATGCGTTTTATTTAAGTTGGATATGGTTAAGTTTCAAATTAAATTTTCAGATATTAAAATCCGTTCCAAAAATAGTCAAATGAAAAGTCAAATGAACTAATCCGAATAATATTTGAGTTTAGTACAAAATATTTTGGTTTACTTTGTTTTTTTTTTTACCAGAGTAGGAAGTAGCCGGATATGCATGGATATGGATTTTTAAAATACAATAAATCGCACCTGTTATCTTAAAAGCGGTAACTTTTTGGCAACGGTCGGCTCCTGTGCTCGCAAGATTTTTGAATCTGAATACTTTCCGTTTCCCGCAAGACGCAATAACGAAATTAAGCCGCCCTAGTGTAAATTGTTTTCCGAATAGAACAGAAACGTATGGCTCTACCGTATAGAGAGTTGACGCGTGCCAAGTGCCCCTCTATATAGCCGCTCCACCAAACCCTCTGGTTATCCAATGCCCGACATTCAATTGCGCAGCAGCGGCAGAGAACAACAGTTAATTGCATTTACAATATTGCCACAGTTATGTCGATTCTTTATGGGATATGGGATATGGTGTACGGTGTATGGGGTATGAATTTAAAGGGGAATGGGGGTGGGGGTGACGTTTCGAGCGGAGGAGAGGCGGTGCAGAAAGCATGTTCGCTTAACGATCTACCCGACTCATGTTTATTTATGAGTCGCCAATCGAATCAATTCCACTCGACTCAACTTGACTTGGACTTGACTTGAATCGCTTCCAACTGTTGTTGTGCGGCTGCAAAATGCAAATTTTGGACAAAATCCAAAGCATACGCACACCCCTGTTCAAGATAATAGAAGTGCTTTACATCCCCTCAACTCAAAGATCACTTTTTCTTTTTTTTTCATATTCATATTCCTTTTGTCAATTGCAACAATGAATACAAAATAATTTATGTAAGTGAATGTTTGGAATGATTGTCATTTAACATTATTGTAAAATATCGATTAAGGTGTCTTAAGCTTGACCTAAGTATTCATAGGAATAATCTGCAAGTCTTATCCGATTTTGTTTTCACACGAAATTCGACTTAGCTTCTGATGCTTAGCAAGGATACATCTCTATATTTGTCACATACTTTTGCACGAAGACAATATATGAAGGTATATAAGCCCCAGGTGTATATGCCATAAACATAAACATAGTATGGATTGGGTTCCCATAGATGGCATGCAGGTCTAGGGCAGTGCCAAAACATACACCGAAAGCAACTATCAAATGCCGTTCAAGGCCATTTCAAATTGCGTGGCAGGCAGAACAAGTTCCACAAGTCGGTGTGTGTGTGTGAATTTTAACCAGCTGATGCACGTGCGAAAGTGTGTGTGTGAGTCTTCAAAAGGGGTGCGCACATCCCCTAAAGCTTTGAATGAAAAAACTATACGAACTGCAAGTACTGTCATTCAGGTAGACGAATTTTATTATGTTAGCAGTTAAAAAATAATTAATCAATTATTCGGTTCAAACCAAACCTACTATTAATGAAATTGTGAACCACTTTTTATTTTGGTGACCACCTTAGTCATTTGAAATCATTAAAATGTTGTAAAGCAATTGAATTCTCCTCTATATTAGAAACGTTTTTTTATTCAAACTGATAAGTAAAGGTATTGCAATGAGATAAGATATTAATCTTGTTAGGTAAATTGAGCTTTGTTCAGATTTACCAATCTACAATAAAACTGATGATGCCAGAAAGCAGGGCAAATGTAGTTAAATCATCATTCAGGGGACTAATAAATCGTCTACGAAATACTTCAACCGTAAACTCATCCCTATCCCAACATTATCTCATAACTAATAAGACTTAGCCAGAGACGTTGAAACAAGGAATAGCAGAGAAAAAAATTTGTGGACCTCATTTAAATAAAAACATATACCATAAAATATACAATTTGATGCAGAGAAAATATTTTTCGATCACTGATCGGATGCTAAAAAATTTCACAAACTCAATATAGAGTTGTTATCGACTGTTGTTTATCCAACACTTGTGGCTGATGAGCTTGAGATAACTTCAAAACATAACATATTTACATATAAGGACTATATGTTTAGTACCCGTGTGTACGATAATTCAGTAGCGTGATCTTAACAACGATGACTGCCAAAATTAAATTGAAACTGAACTTAAGAAGGATCGTGTAACTTCGTTAGCAACCACAGCCGTAATAGATGAAAAATTTGATCAATTTTAAAATTTTTTAAAAATATTTTCAAAAAGGTTTTTTGTTACATGGAAATTTATTGAATGAACTAAACAAATAGCCAAAAGAGGTGATTTGCATTGAACTAACAGTTGCGGTCAAAATAGTAGTATTTTTTAAGCTCATGGAAATATCAATCAAAAAAGAATAAAAACAACTTTTGAAATTTTGTTTATATTTTCATAAAGCTAATAATAAGACTCGGGTTTCCTAAAAAAAAAATACCAATCTTAAAGAGCTGCGTTTAAAAAATAAGTCAGCAAGCTTATGAGTCGTAGACTTTGTCCCTCACTGTCGGTAAACAAATTGCTTTTGTTTTTTTCTCAGTGTAAGGGAGCGGGTTAGAGGCAGAGAGACAGTAACAAAGAGAGACAGAACGAGTGAGCGACCGGTTAAAGTGGAGGCAAGTGGGAAACGAGCATGAAATCGAGAGAAAACAAGGATAAACAAGCCGAAGGATTTGGGACGGCACTGTTGCTTCCTTCACGTGTAATTGTGTAAGTGTGTGAGTGTGAGTGTGTGCACGTCCTGACCGCGTGCACACGCCATGTGTGAGTGTGCCAGAGCGAGAGGGGGCGCACGAGTGAGCGACTGGCAACAGCCGCCGCTTCTTATTGACATTAAAACCGCTGCCGCCGCTAGTCGATTCGATTCCCCTTGCCCATGTCCATACCTATACTCATACCCATACCTATACCCATGCCCATTCCCATTCTCATTCCCGCTCTCTCGTGTCCTTCCCCATCCCCTCCAGCTATTTCTTCTTCTTTTTTTTAAGTAACACCCGGCGCAGATGCTAAATAAGACGGCAGAAATTAAAGTGCAAAGGTGTGTGCTGCAACAACAATAACAACAACAACAACATGATCAACAGAAGGACGATACTTTGCTCTTGTACTTAGCGCTAAAAAAAAGGAAAAAGGAAAGGAAAAAGAAGACAAGGACCGCGAACGATGTGGGCAAGGATCTAAGCATAAATACCAACTGTTTGTACCGAGCGTCCACATGGTGCGGAATTAATCATCGTATATATCCAAGAAATAACGACTCTGGTACATAGAGGATTAAGCCACAGAGTATGTCAACAATCAAACAAAATTCAGCATTGGTGGAAACAATTGCAAAGTACACATGGTCAGTAGAAAAATGGAGAACAACATTTACCAACAAAATCCTTATCAATTTTTTGGCATAAATATTAATAATATTTATTGGGAAATGGTATATCAAGAAAGCCAATTTAATTTGACTGACAACGTTGAACTAGTAGTTTTAGCAAATATATATAAACACACATATTGTGTTAAGCAAAAAAATTGCAAAAACTATTGCTTGAATTCATTACCGGAATCGCCGGCTATATTACTGCACGCATTCAATTAAACCAGTAACCCATATACCATACATATGTGGGACTGATCTAGTTTGTGTTAAGGTGGGCTAATTTTTTCTTTCTTTATTTTTTCTTGATCGCAACGAAAGTATTTTTATGAATTGTAAAGATTTAAATGTAGACTTAAGCCCTTTGCAAAGAAAACCTTGTTCAAAAAGGGTAACCGTCACAAGCCAAATGATCTAAAATACAATTTAAGCAAATTTAGAGCGTTTGAATTTATATATAGCATTTTTATGTATTTTTTTTAATTTGTAAAAAGAAAATATAAATGCCTCATTAGGACTCTCCAAATTTAGTTAGTTAAACTCTGTAATCGAGGAATATAAGCTGTACAACAGGGCTCGTTCCAAAAAAAAGGGAGAAACGAATTTTTGAGAGCTCTAACAACCTCAAGATAACTAAGGTTTGAGTACATTTCGAACAATCCAGTGAAAAACCAAATATTGAAAACGAAACAATTAAAATGTTGCCGATCCGAGGCGCCATACTAATAATTTTATAACATTTCCAAGAAAAAATCAACAAGATAATGCTACCTTGTTGTCAACAACTATCAGTCTAAAAAAAAATGAAAATAAAAACAAACAAAAACCGAAACAGAAACGCAAAAAATTTGCCGAATGGAAATTTTGTGGCACGCAAACTTGTTGCTCTATCTGTGTTTGTGTGTGCTGTATATGTATGTGTATTTGTGTGCCTCTGTGTGAGCCAGTCTATGTGTGCGCGCGTGTGTGTATGTTTGTGGAGAAGCTTACTTTGGCGATGTTTTAATAATAAATGATTTATTTATTTTTCAGGTTGTTTTCGTTTTTGTTTTGATTTTGATTTGCACTCAGCTGATGCACTTTTGTTGCCCACTTTTGCGAAAAAGCCAAACTTATCGCCTTCGTTGTATTTGTTATTATTATTTTGTTGGTTTTTGCATGTCACCAACAGCAAAGAAAACAAAAAAAAAAAAATACTCAAAACACAAAACGCGCGCGTACACTTGTATGTAGAAGTATGCCTGTATGCGCGCGTGTGTGTGTGTGCAAATTTGCAAGAGACGGGGCGTATGAGCAATGCCGTGGCGAAAACTTTGCCACTTTAGTTGTCTGCGACGAAAGCAAAAACAGCACAAAACACCGTAAAAAAAAGCAATAATAAAAACACAGCTTTACATGCACAGTTGTTGTTTCAATTCGGCTGCTGTGGCGTCGCAGTGCGTAATACTTTTTTTTTTTTTTGTTTCTAGCGTCCGCGACGCGTCGACGCGTTGTAAGCGGTTTGAAAGGTAGCGCAGCACTGGCGCTCGGCCGCCGAATCGAACAGCTGAGCGCTGTTCCGAAGAGAGAGCCGAACCACTCACGAACACTACCACTCACCAATATCACTGAAATAGCCCCATCTCTGTGTGTGTCCGTGTGTGTTGTAAACGCTCTTACATTCCGCGCCCGAATTTTTCGGGCTTTTCCCTGGTTTTTCTTTTGGGCCAGTTTGGCTGTGGTTTGGGCCCAACACTTGTCGTTGTCCGTCGTCTCTTTTGGCCATTATGCAACGACAGCGAAACGAAGGGGCTCACGAAGTGGTCAAGCTGCTCTCCGATTGGTCGGCAGAAAAAGCCACGAAGCGACCCGAAGTGCGTTCGCTCTCTCTCACTCTCTCGCGGTTCGCTCACTCTCTCGGGAGAGAGTACAATAAAAAAATATAAAAATATAAGAAAAGTCAAAACACTCGAACATACCAGAGGTCGAGTTTTCCGACTTACACATACCCATGGTAATCCGTAAATTTGACGGCAATTTTTTAAACTTTTTTTACTTGTTTACTGAAAGGATATAGTGTTCTGGAGCAGTGACTTGCAACAGAAAGCATTTTCGATCCTTCAAAGTATAATGTATATATGTGTATCTTTTTCATGCACTTCTGTGTGGAAAGAAACATTTGAAACCTGTTATAACATTTGATGAATTTACAAGAATATTACAAAACAATAAATATACAATCTCACTCAAATGGTTTCTGCAGATTTCCTAAATTAAATTTCGACTCTCCGATTAAAACGATTAACAAAGCTTAACTGTGCGACAAGGTACATATAACACATGGTCAGATTGAAACTAATACGGAAGGTGTATGCAACCGATATAAACTTAGCATTTGAGTAAGAGATACCTAAGTTCTCTACTATTTAAAAAAAACCATGAAAACATTTTACTGCGGAAAGGTGGTTTCCCGATCCAACTGTACGATATTTGCAAAATGCAAAAACCAATTTTAAGACAAGTCACATATCAAACGAGGTTACAATATACCCTTGCCAATTACTAGCAACAAGAGAAGCTTCGAGTCCGGTTGAACTTTTTGGGAATGAAGAGGTAGCCACACCTGACCGATAAGAATGTTGAGGGATCGTAAATCGCAGAAAGGCGCTGGAAAAGAGGTGAGAAAAGTGACCACAATGTGTTGGAGAGAAAGCCATCAGTATCCACAGCATCGAGAGCTCTTTCGATGGGAAAATATTTGAATTTAGCTATTACCACTAGAAACAGCACAGCTAAGATTAAAATTGTATTGCAATTGAATAACTATTGAACAATTTTTTCAATCAGGGCACATTTAAAAATTGTTTACACCCAGCATTCACTTTATAAAATTATATGATTATGTCAGGTAAATATGAGAGCACACGTCATTTTTATAGAGTTTCAATAACAATATTTTCTCATAAAAGTTTGCCATTTATTTTTTTTCGAGTATTTTTTATCGAGTATTAAAATACAATCATTAAATCATATTACTGGTCATCAAGGTAATATTTTTCCATTAATCTACTGTTTTATGTGACGATTAATATTTATATACATTTTAACGAATTTTGACTATCTATCTCTATCGATTAATTTTTTTCGTTAATGTGATCAAAGCATATAAACCATATTTAAACCACTGCAATTGCTGATAACAATTGTGAATTGAGCTCATTTTAATCTCAATTAACTTTGCGAGCATTTTACAAAGCGAAAATTGTTTTACTACGTTTCGTTTCGAGGTTTTTTTGATTGCTTTCTATTTTCCCTAGCTGATAAAAATAAATGTAGCTTATATTCGCATTATTTTATACCCTGTATATAGAACTCGAGAAAAGTGTAGAACAGGAGCATGTCCCAAATTTAAAAGCTAAAGAATTGCAACTGCCTTTTTGTTGACTGTTTAATGTTTTAATGTTTTCATAACTCTCCCAAACACGTAAGAAGTTTGGCACGTTATCGAAATTCATCGATTTTGACAAGGGCATCTTATATTCGGGACACTTATTTTTTTTTAATAAAAAAAATTAGTTTGCCATTGTTTTTTGCACAAACACTTGCAGAGCCAGCTGATAAGATAACCACCAAGAGTCCGTAAAAGTGACAAGCCGAAAACTAAATGAAAGTAGGGGCAGAAGGGATTTGTTGGTGCGGAGTAAATTATAATTGTGTTTTGTGTGGTTTTCGTTTTTGTGGGTTCTCGCATTTAAAGGGCCGAAAATGAGTCATTGAGTTAATCAATCACAGCAAACACCCGCTTTAAAAGACGCCAGAAACTGCAGCCCCGAGTGGCAGAGAAAAATATAATCTAAATTGATTTTAAAATGAATACTTATAATGTATTCGTAGAACAGCTAGAGGCCCTATAAAATACATTTAAGAATTCTTAATCAGCATCGATATTCCAAGACGATCAATACATTTATTACACTTTAAAAGCAATAGCAGTTTTTAAAAGTTCTAAATTGTTTTCATATACAGTTTATCAAGATTTTTATATTAAGTTTCAGTGCAAAGTCTACTTAAGTTTTCTTTGCCCACATTTACATGGCACATTTTTGAGGTTTTACTTATATATCAATACTCACAATATTAAACTATTGATTTTTGCATTGTATCACGTTTCTTCCATACTACCGTTTATCTGCATTTTACACAAAAAAGTGAAAAAGAAATCCTTTTGAGATTGGCCTGTGGGTGAATCTGATCTGCAGATTGATATAATTCAAGCTCATTTACACTTTAAGCCATTAAGGGCAGGCAGGCAGGCCAAGCCGGACGCAGCGGAGAAAGTTTTCGGGAAGAAAATAATTGCTCGCCTCGATTTTGGTGAATGGAGAGAAGAGAGTGGCTAAAACGGCACTATATATATATGTCTATATAGAGATAGTCAGAGACGGAGTGAAAGGGATGGCCTGTGCTGGCTGATGTCTAATTTGTTTTCTATTTCCCAATGCATTTGTGTTTGTTGATGCGCCAAATTTATCAAGCTCTTGACCGTCCATTGTTGGCAAACTTGTTTGTCGCTTCCCCTTTCCTTTACTTTCTCCTCTCTCTCTCCTCTCTCTCTCTTTCTTTCTGTCTTTCTCTGGCGGTAATATGGCTCTTTCTTCGACTAAAAATTGGTAGGGGGATACCTTTCGACTTTTACAGAAAGCCAGATTTTTTTTGGCACTCCACAGAGACGGACGGACGGACTCACGGAACGGAAATGGAAACGGACACACATGACGGCCACACAACTGGGCGATAAGATAGAACAGCGGTGAGCGGGTCGATCGTACACTAGAGAAATAAACGTTATCGCTATTTAAAAGTAAGGAACTGTATCTTACTTGGTATTCTTGGTATTTAACTTCTGAGAGATCAACCTTTTTACGATTCAATTTAGTTACCACTATGTCAACAAGCACAATGTTAACGTGATCCCAAAATTAGCACTTTGGCGTTAAAGTTATCTCTATTGCCAGTTTAACAACTGAATGAAAATCTGATAAAAACTTCAATAGTGTAAATTGGCTTTGGGTACTTATATCAATTGATTTTCCGCTAATTTCATATTTCATTTTATAATCCATTCACTAAAGAGTGTCAAGTAATCCTTACAGCGAATATTCAGATTTTCTCCATTTTCTGGCATTTTTTTCTGAGTGTCGAGGTGGGAAGTGAACTGCGGCGGGGGAATAATGAAGTCAAAACGGTCACGCTTACCCGCACATTGATGGAAAATTATAATGAGCAGTGAGAAAGAAGCAGCAGCAGCAGCAGCAGCAGTTGAGGAAAACGAAGAAGCGGCAGCAGATGATGAGGCAACCACGACGGACGTGAGAACGGAACGAACCGCCGAGAACGAACGTCGTCCAAACAGGAACGAAGCGTCCAGCGTTCGAATCGCCCAACCATGCAAATGAGACCGAAAGCCACGATCGAGGGAGCGAGCGAGAGGGGGAGGGTTTAAGGGGTTTTCCTTCTCGCTCTCTGGGGTTCTTGAGGTTGCGAATTGAACGCACCGCTGGTGGAGCGCAATAGTGCAACCCGCCGACAGCTTCGATCCATAAATCGAGTCCATCGAAGTCGGAAATAACCTGATAACCTCCAAACATATAGATTTCATCAAGGAACGATTGTTTTCTCTCATGAATATTATTATGTTTCGATTTGAAACCCCCTTTATATTCAACTTTTAAGCCATTAAAAAACTTGGGTTCCTTCTCAGGAGTCTTTATCTTCTCGCTTTTATGAATTTTAACTCTAAAAATAAATGCAATCTGATTGATTACCTTCTTGAAATGTATCCCATATGCATTTGATGTGAGGAGGTACTGACTCTGTTATAAACTCTTCACCAACAAATGTTGGGGAATTGATTACTTTCAGGTGCTATTTCTATGGTTCATAGTTTCTTTAATTTCGTAAGAAATAAACAAACGTTGAGCACTAATATATTACAACAAAGAAATGCCAGCTCAACTAGGGTTAGTCGAGGTTTTCTCTGGGTTAAAGTTTGCTTTTTTTTTATTTTAACAACAACATTAAATGAGAACTTAATACGTTACGAACCAAAATCGTGGAAAAGATAACGACCAGTTCAACTCGATACGAATTTCCAAGAACCCTATTTCTCACCAAAACCATAATTTGCATGTTAAAGTTCCACTCTGCACTTGAGCTTGCCTTCAGCAATAGCAACATCATCATCATAATCATCATCAAAATAAGCGTTATCAATAACACACTACAGCCCATCAACTTCAGACATGCATATATGTATGTATGTTAATATATATCTATGTATATATACAAATACCAACTGAATCCGAAGGGTTTTTCGCTCGATGACAGGCAGCTGCTTCTGACCAGTTGCACAGTTGACCACTCGACAACCTTGACACAAATGAATGCGAAAATCGAAGGGCGACGGGCGACGGATGGGCGGCAGTTGAAACTGGTCCGCAGGGGGCGTGGCCGTCATAACAACAACATCGACAGCGGCTCGGGATGAGAGCCTGGCTACCTGGGCCGAGCTCATTTGCCTAATAGAACAATTATCGACGCCTACGGCCCGTGGGTCTGATGCGGAATAGTCTGGCATTATGGGGTCCTCCAGTTTAGGGGCGCAGGAGGATAAGGCGGATGAGGGACTCCTCTAACTGGGTGTTGCACAGCTATTACGATGATTGTGTCCATGATAGTGACGATAATTACTCTAATGATGGCCACAATAATGGCCACAAGTGACCTGTCGATTAAACGGAAGCCTTCAATTACACTTCCTACGGCAGAGCCATGGAATAAATACATTTTAGACAGGTTGGCTTTCGTGGGACAGTGTGAAATCACAAATGTTTAGCTTTTTGAAGGATTTCTACTAACAATATACACAAATATACAAATATGAATCACCTTAGGACGATGTAATCGATGGAATGGTGTAAAACATTTGGTGTTTAACATTTTGTTGGTATAATCAACGAACATTTACAGTAAAATTCTCTAAAATTGTATTGGACTGTATTTTGTTGATATATTTTTTACCGTATTAAAAATGGTTTATTAGTATTTTTAAAACAAAATTTTGTCGGTTGGACTGCACATTTTAGTTTAATTTTCTGTAAAATGTAAGGTAATACGCAGAATTGAATGTTGATTTAAATCTTCT